AGTTAGTGTTAATAAGAAATATGGTAAGAGAAAAAATAAAAAGTTTTTTATTATTTTTCTTCTACTCAAAATATCATTAACACATATTAAATGCTTATTACATATCTGCCGATATAAGTCTTGAATATGGGTAAATTGCATTTAATGAAGAAGAAAAATAAAGTCTTCACAAAGGCGGACACATGCATTACAGGGTTAAAGAAATACTATAATTTGTAAGACAAAGGTAAGTAAAAATATACGTTACTGTTTTTAAATATACATGTTCATGTTTTTTTAATTTAACTAACAACCAAAAATAAATAAACAATCCCTTCATCTGTTTTGTTATTTTTGATTTATTGTCTATTATCATTAACTATATGAAAGATACGACAGGACGTGATGTGAAACTGAATAGTATCAAAAGATAATTATTTTTTTAGATTGAGGAATTGATAATAAATCTAAGAGAAACCTCCAGATACAAAAATTATTGTTTATTTTTTATTGCAACTTCTTTTTCATTGTATATTTTCATATTTACCCTGTACAATAGGGTAGCGCAAAAAACGACTATTTTTTTTGAGTCTCGTACGAAAATAAGTTAATTAATCGATTTTTAAGACCACCCTCCAAAGGGCAGCTCAAAATTAGTCAAAATTGGATTTTTTTTAAATTAACATACTTGCGTACCAGACTCAAAAAAAAAAAAAAAAAAAAAAAAAAAAAAACAAAAAAAAAAAACAAAAAAAACAAAAAAAAAAAAAAAAAGCCACCCTAATCTAAAAGATAATAAATATTGCATTCTGAGTTAAGAAAATGCAAAAACTTTTACAAGGTATAAAAATCAATTTTCCTTGAAACTTCTGAAATATTTTTGCACATACGTTGTTGCACTGGATGTGTAATATTGTTGTGCCGGCACTTACTTTGTTTACCTTTCAAGTTGCGCGTCTGTGTTCCGCCACCGCTGGACGATCGAGACAAAAGACCTATTATGAAAAGTTACTGGAAAGATCTACCGCAGGTGTGGATTCATGGACAAGGACCATCTAAAAACATCTCGAAGTCTACGGAACAGGACTGGATTTGTCTGAAACATAATATTTGTTTGTATAAATGAATTCTTTTGCCATTTGAGTTTAGTTTTGATAACAAATAAATAAGTTATAAAATAAGTTGGTGTATTTAGTGAATATAAATTATAATAATTAAAGGGTTTAAAATAAACAGACATAACAATATGTTAATATTTGAGGAGTGCTGTTTCAAAACTTGCTAACTCCATGCCACAAGGCCCCCTCTCACTGGAGCCGCCCTTGTCTAATAGAAAAGGTGAAAGATGTAACTTATGTTACCAGAATATTTAATTTCTTATTATAAGGCGAAAGTTGTCACTTGTTTGTGTTTAACAAAAGAAACTATCATTTTCCATTATTTTGTTGTATCAAAATCCGTAAAATAGGCTGTGCAGTTTAAAACAGTAAAGCCTTGGTTTCTTTGAACACTCCGTCGCAGTGAGCGGACAGTCCGTCGACCGCTGAGGACAGCAATTTTCGCTAAAAAATATAGAAAATTATCTTTCTCTATGTCTGTACGTGCTGTTTATGTATTATGAATGTAAACGAAAGGTACTAAAAATGGATGCAAATAAATTGTTTGCGTTGTTATTATTGTTGGAAGAGAAAGAACTAGAGGAACTGGCAATTGCAACCGTCAAAGTTTCCAATAAGCCAGTGGATGAGTTGTTTTTGTGTCGCGATACAGAAGGTGCCTTTAATATCACTGTGCAGTGGAGGCTTTTTGGAAATGAAACCAAATTTAGAGAGTATTTTAGACTTTCTACAGATCTTTTTGAATTCGTGTTGAGTTTTATAAAGGACATAATTTCCAAGAAACCTAAAAATAAAGTCATGATGTCATCTGTATGTGTAAATTTGTCACTCATTGTTTTAAAATTAATAACAATATAGTCTCCGCACACGCCGACGATTCCGCTGATATCAAACTCATCCGATATCAACCGACTCTTCGCGACAAATCAGCGGCATGACGCCGTCCTGTTCAGCTAAGCGGATTCAAGAAAACCATTCCCATTTAAATACTCTGGTTGGATAAAATCGTCAAAACGCGACGGTTGACGGACTGTCCGCTCACCGCGACGAAGTGTTCAAAGAAACCAAGGCTTAAGTTCAACATATTTTTTACTGTATTTGTTTTTCTACCTGCCAAAAAAGGGTAATGTTGTAGTTGAAGGGTCTGGAAATGTGCCAGTCCGCACCATTGCTGTTCCGGCTAGTTCTGTCAGTTGGAATCATTACATAGTTGCCAGGTTATATTTAATTATTTGGAACCAGCGAATAAGCAGATTGAAATAACTTTTACTTTTAATCATCGATTTACCAATTTTTACATCGATTAAAAATCCCATAAAAATAAAAAAATTCTAAAGATTTTCAAGTAATACGACCGTTATTTTTAATGTCAATTTAACCCTTCAATAGTGATAATTACAAAATTTAAAATCTATCAAAACTGTCTTATAAAACAAAACAAAATTGTTATTTCAAAATATAATATAAATCTTTATATTTATTTATCATACATTTTAATTTACAGAGGTTACAATTTGTCTAAATAATAAACTATGAAATAAAGCAAGCTAAAATGAAAGTGGAGATTTGGCAACGTGGCTTGAGCAAATTCAAATTCTAGACGTCACTCGTCAGTGCAGAGTGGTGTGAATATGCGCATTTCTAGACCCGTCAACTACAACATTACCCAAAAAAGTTTAAATAAGTAGTTAAACATTGTCCTAGAATAGTCTTTGAAGTACCTTATGTATTAGCAGATCTGAAACTTTAGTAATTTTGAAGTCCTAGATTTTCCAATTCTGAGAAACAGGGACTACAAAGTTTTGAAACTACACTCCATATTTAATCCTCATGTATATTTTATAAACCATTTGCCCTAGCAGTGTTATTTTTTCTGACAGAAAATATTTTATACCTAAAATATTTATCCAACCAAACTGTATTCAAGAGATTACAAATCTGTACCGCAGAACCAGAGTATGTTAAGTCCAAAAACTTAGTTTTTCAGGAGAGCATTTTTTATATATTCATTTTAGACTGTGGAGTGTGGGCTTAGCGTAGTTAAAAAATGAGCTGTTTTTGTTATTTTAAAAGATACGTCAAAATGGAAAATATCGAACCATGCGCCGCAAAATTTTAAGTCACTTAACATATTTACCTAAAATTTGGCCAATTTGGACTTAACATAGTCTGGCTCCGAGGTACAGAAATGGAAATTTAAATATAATCTGTCATCAGTCACTCTTCTTTTTTACCATTGTGAAATCACTGGCCTCTTTTTTAAAAAACATCGGCCAATTACCACTAGCCTATTTTTATTCAATAATTTAGCCAATTTATTAACTACTTATTATATAAGATGAAGGCCAACCTAAATGACAAATAAAAAAGAAGGATACCAAATTTCTTCAAGACAAAGGCAATGAATATATTGAAAATTGAGAAGAACGAAATAACCTAATATAACCTAAAATTTCTTGGAAATACATACAAATATGAATTTTAGACAGGTAATCTAAGCAATTAAGAGTTTAGGACATGGTGTTACTTATGAAAAATTTGAATAAAGCTACAAATTGGTATGTTGGTCCAATTCATTGTCCAATCATCCCCTATCAAATGCTCCCGAGCTACTTATTGCCATTGTATTATAAAACACAAAACAAACCATTTTCTGCAATAAAAACGCTTATAAACTGTAGATTCTGAACACTTGGTGGATGTAAAATCTATTTGAATTATATTACTAACTTTTACAACTTAATTTTTCTTTTTAATGAGAGAATATTCGACTGTGTACTTAGAACTTATAACAAAAAATGTAATGTAAAGCAAGACAATAATGTGCTCTGACAAAGGATAATTAATTTTTTAACAGTTGAAACAAGTAATGCCATACATGATCATGTTACTTCTATGCATATCCTCATTTGCCAACTGATATAGAGGGGCTTGATTTTAAATTGTATTACTAAGAAGTAGCGTCAATGAAGCTCGACTTCATACAAGTGAAAAACATTTAATCAAAACAGAAATAAAACATAAACCAATACGTAATCAAAATCTACAGAGTTAAAAAGTTTTAGTATGTTAAGAATGAGATTAATCAACAAGTTTATTAATAATTATATCAGTTTAGAGCTTCTATAACCTGCAATTAAAAATAAACTCACCATTAACGTCTTCTATGGTGTTCAATATGATTAATAGCAACTCTCAATTCATATCGTCATATTTCTAAATACTGCGATCGACAATTCCGATTTCATTCTGTTTTCTATCATTGTGTACCTCCGTTTCTCCCTCTTTAGAAGATATCACGACTAAACCCATAGAAAAACTAAACCTCTACCAACTAGAAGAAAATGAGATTTTTTAGGTACCATAAAAAGAAGTTATCGTATTTGAAATTACAGATCATAATAACTGTCAGGAGCTCTGCGTCGCTGGCACCATTTTTCTATGCTGGCACCCATCTCCCGGGGCCACCCCCTAGCTACGACGCTGATCAACGACATTTACACATAAATATTCAGTGAGAATGTATAGATTGGAATAAATTTGAACTTTCTAATCGCATTTTAACCAAACTATTGCCGCGTTTGAGAATCCACAGAATGAGAATCCACATCGGATGCATCTGAGATGTAAAAAATCTTTGATCACGTGATAAATGTAATGGGATAGATGTGTCCGATGTGGATAAAAAAACGCTCGAGATGTAAAAAATGCATCCGATGTGGATTCTCAAACGCACCTAGGTATTAAAAATATTGCGCCAAGATGTAGGCAACACGTAATAAGGGTTCAAAATGGCGGAGTTTTCTATCTCCTTTTAAAAGGCACTCAGAAAGCTGCGCAGTGCGACCATTCTCCGTATAGTAAAAGAAAATCAAAGTATGTGGTCGGACCTCTCTCTTGCCTCGTATAGTAATCAACTGCCGCGTTTGCGAATCCACATCGGATGCATTTTTTACATCTCGAGCGTTTTTTTATCCACATCTGACACATCTGTCCCATTACATTTATATACACTGAATCACGTGATCAAAGATTTACTACATCTCAGATGCATCCGATGTGGATTCTCAAACGCAGCAAAAGTATGTGGGTAAATGCACTCACATAGTTTTTCTATGCTCACATCATTTAACCCTAGATTGTAGATTGTCAGTGTACCCCACAGATTACATGATACGGACCAAAGTGTTACCCAAAGGGTATGGTCTGTGTTACATACTCTTTGGTGTTACCCTGTGAACTCGGTTTCGAGTCGCGAACGAAGTAATAAGAAAAGAAGAAGAAACGTACCTAATTTATTTGTTATAAACAAAGCGTTTAAAAATGTTCATACATCTATTTCTATTATTCTGATCAAGATTAAATTTTACGCATTTATTAAATTTCTTTAAAGAAAATATGGATGATAAAGTTAATGACTTCTTGAATGAAATCAATGAAATAGCACCAGCACCTCCTCAGAGACCACCACCTCCAAAACCAGAAGATCAAGGTATCCAAATATTTGTGGCTGTAAAGATAATTAGATATGTTTTGGGTTCTTTTTTATTTCATATCGTCCTTAGTTACTTCTATTTTTAACTTTATTTTATGTCTTTGATATGAGTATGTTAGGCTAAAGCAAAGTGAAAATTTGTTTTTAATTCAGCCTATTCAAATTTACTGCCTGTGATCATAATACGATTTATTAAGTTGGTTTATACTGAAGCTTGTACAAATAAAATTACTTAATTTAAATATCCACCAATCTGCCAGTCCATATAGATATAGGTAATATTTGGATTTTTTTAATTTATTTATAATTTACAATGTGGGTAATATGTGCAAGATTGTAGACTTATGTTGGGTATGTGGTATTAATGCACTGAGACCTAAAATATATATTTTGTCCCCTTTTGTCACTAATGCATCGAGGAAATAGACTCGATGCCTATAATGACCCTTCCAATCCTATCTTATCAAGGAAGTGTAGGATTTGGAGTGACTTCAAGTTAGGTAGATCACCCTCTTCTATTTAGTATGCTCCTAAGTCTAGTGCCCTTGAATTCTGGAGTGCTACACATTCAGTTAGAATGTGAATGGAGGTTTTGTCCTCCTCATAGAATCTACACTCACTCTCTTCTACTATTCTCAGTTTAATAAGGTGTCCTTTGAGTCAGCAATGTCCGGTAAGGATCCCTGTTACAACACTGACATGCACAAATCAAAGTAATTTCCAAGAAACTTTTTTATTTGTCAAAAAAAAAAAAACATTTTGATATTTCTGATTTGAAAGGGAAGTGAATCATATATTTTTGATGCCACAGTTATTGCAAATCTTTGGCTATCATCCCATGTTAACAAATGGAGTTTTACACTGTTTTTTTTTTAATGTATTATGTACATGTGAGGCATTAAGGTTAAGACAGGTTTTTATAATAAAAGATGCATACCATGTGAAGCTATGCATATTTTTCTTGATTATCCCAGTCTTTAAAACTAGTCCTGCTTTAACTTTTGTGGTCCTCAATTTGATTTTTAAATAATGTTGCTTTGAATTATCCTGTTTGGATCTACATCTAAAAGAAAGTGTACTGCTCTAAACTTTGTGGAATAATTAAGGAAAATAATTTAATATAATTTCAATGCATTAATAATTTGAGATTATGTATAAAATATTTTGTAGATTTGTTTAATTACTTTTTATTCATAATTGTTCTTTTTTTATTTAAAAATACTATTATTAACACTTTTTGTAAAGTTTTGTTGTTTGTTTCATTTTGTTCATACATAATTTTTTTTTTTTTATTTCAATGAAACATAATTTTTTTAGAGTGAATGTCTCGAAAATTCTAATTAGGTATACGAAAGTGTGTTCAAGATGTGAGCAGAAGACATTGATAAATTAAAAAATTGAGAGCGGAGTCATACAATATAGGAGAATGAAAGAGTCCTATTTCTTGGCGTACGCCCCTGGTAATAGCAAATATACAGGTTTTCCCACAATAATGTGTATTTCATGCCAGTAAAACCATATTTCAGTTTGATGAAATATAATTAATAAAAAAGTCACAGACAATAATGTTTAATACAAAATTATAACACACTATATCTTGAAAAAATTATTGGTCGATGTCTTTATTTCATAAAAGTGCTAGGGCATAAGGCGAGTTTTAGCTTAGCTATTATACATGTCTTAGTTTTTATAAGTATCATATATTATACTTTCTTTCATGTGACATTATGTTATCATTAATTTTTTTTTATATTATTCACTTTGTTTAAGTGTGGAAACAGTGTTATGACGAACTCACGGGCTATGCATATTATTGGAATAAAAAAACAGATAAAGTTACTTGGAATCCTCCAGAACCATTATTTAACAAAGGGACTTCAAAACCACAAGTGGCAAAGAAAAATATGTACATTCCGACATTATTTCCAGGAGTTAATAGTAGTAGGACCAAAGATATACCAAAGGATATAAAAATTTATTCGATTGGGGATGGCATCAACAAATTACCTAAGAAGGAACCACTAAAGAGACCATTTAAGAAAGAAAGTGATTCAGAAGATGAGTAAGTATGCTTGATATAAATTAGGTATCAGTATATACCTAGCTCATAAAATACGATATACAATTTTGGCTCAAAAAAAAATTCTATGCTTTAAAGGTAAAAGATCATAAATGACAAATTTCGCAAAATTGAGTTTAATAGCCCACAATCATTTGTTTCTGTTTCGAATGAGCTGCTTTTTAGCTTCCTATTACAATTTTCTTACAGCTTAAGTTAATCAGAAATTAAATTATGTCAACATTTTTCTACCAAGGACATACTGATAATTTTACAAGATTGGTATTTGCAATATTTAAGAAAAAAGTTAACTATCAGTTACATAATTCTACTTTTCTTGCTGATTTATCTTCTCATTCTCCTTGCCCTTGTCTGTTTATTATATGCAATAAATCTACAAGTATTAAAAATAAATAGTTTGAAACCTATATGCTTATATACAAAATGTTTACTTTTTAATCAGATATTATAGAAACAATGCTATTGAATAGAGAGAAATAGAAGAATACATCGCCGAATGCAGACGGCAAAATATCCCATGCTTGTTATCAAAATGGCGTGGTTAAACCAATTACTTTATGCCACTCACGTCTAAATTTAATTAAGCATCTAATCTTTATTTTGCCTGATGCGTCAGTTAATGTACTATATCTTAACAGTTACTAAGAAGACAGTTAAAATGGTTTACTTAATCAAAGCTAAGGTGATTGAAATATGTTAGGTGATACTAAACAGCATAAATGGGATCAAAATTAATTCTAGCCTTAGTGAAAATTATAATAATTATATTGATTCGAAGATTATGTCAGTATGGGTTGAGATCAAGATCGGTAGATTAAACATGCTTCTGTCATATATTTACCGTCCTGGACTTGTTGGAATGCAAGAAAATACACATTTGATGGATATGATCAAGAAAGTATCAGAAGAACAAACATTATATTTGGAGATAATAATTTAACTATCGAGAAATAAACTGGGCAACTCTAACACTGACTGAAAGTAACATAAAAGCAAGGGATTTTATTAAATCTTACACAGAATCCAGTTTTAAACAACTTATAAATTTCCCTGCTATAGCTAGACTTACTATTAGTCAATGCCAAAAAACTAATAACATAGATTATCTCAGAATCACCTATTGGTTTGAGTGATTATTTAGTCATTAAGGCAGTTGCACAACTTAACATTCAAACTGGATCCACATACAGTGTTAAAAAGAGAAAGTTCTGGAAAGCAGATTATACATTAATCAATAGTACCTAAGATAGCTCAACATAGTGCACATTTGCAAGATGCTGTTAATAGTTCTTACGAAACTTTAACAAAGTGATAAATGACAATATTCCACTAGAATTAATAAATAAAAACCCTGGATCAATCGAACCCACTTCAAAGAAATTAATACGCAACCTATGGCATAGGTACAGGTCAACAAGAGCTGCATATAGAAATCAGAACAATAAACTTAAACATTTATTGGCTATATCTAGAAAATATTATGAACATAACCTCTTAAAAAGTGGCGAAAATAAATTTTACTCCTATGTGAAAAGAATACTGAATACAAACAGCACTCAGCAAATTTAGCAATCACAGAACCAGCCGAGATAGCAGAAAGATTTGCAGAATAGTTCAATGCAGCTTATACACAATGTCCGCAAATAACTGCATAGTAAATACTCGTATAGAATTTACCCCAGAAATTTGCAATAGATAGTCTTAAACAAGATTCAAGTCCTGTAATAGATGAAATCCCACCCATTTTTCTTAAAAAATGTTCTAATAGCCTTAATCTCCTCGCCACAGTTATGAACGACTCAATGCAAAAACAGGGGCTGTCAATGGACAGGAAACAGGCTATAGTCACACCTATATATGAGAAAGGTGGCCAAAAGAATCACATAAACTACCATCCAGTCAGTATTACAAGCTGTGTCGGCAAAGCAATGGAAAAGAGTATTACAAAAGAAGCAACCAAGTTTATGATGGAATACAAGAGTTTTACCAAGCAATCAAGGATTTACTCCCAAAAGATATGTTGTTGCAAATCTTCTAAGTGCAGTTAACCAGGGGACAGCTTGGAATGATAACCAGCCAATTTATGTGATATATCTTGATTATGAAAAGCTTTTGATAAAGTTCCATATAGAAGGCTGTTTAGCAAACTAGAACACTTTGGAATAAGAGGAAATCTATTATTGTGGATTAAGAGTTTATTATTCATCTAGCAGTTCTGCGTAAGAATAAATGGACAGCAATCAAATAACCATCCAAAAGTGGAGTACCACAAGGTTCGGTCTTGGGTCTCCTATTATTTGTTCTATACACCAGAGATTTGTGCCAACTTTTATGCAGAATGACAGAAAAATCTACTGCAAGCCACTGGAAAACTCTCACATCATGAAACAAGACTTGAATAAAATAGGAATCTGGTCCCAGCAATGGCTAATGCCCCTCAACATAAATAAGTGTACCGTATTGCACATTGTCCCAAATAATCCCCACACACAGTACACCATAGGTACAAAGGCAATAACTCAAGTTAAAACACAAAAGGATCTTGGTGTAATCATATCTAAAGACATAATGGAAAACCCACATTGCTTATATAATGAAAAAAGTCAACAGTCTCATTTACCTTATCAAAAGAAATGTTAAAGACCATTCCAAAGATATGATCCTCAAACTGTATACAACTTACATAAGACCAAAGATATAATTTGCATAAACTGTTTGGGATCCATAATTTGTTAACCATGTGATTGTGATCGGCTAGCCAAACTACAACTTTCAAGTTTAAAGGGTAGAAGAACTAGAGGAGACTTGATAGAAACTTACAAGTAGACCAGCGGATATTACACCTGTGATTACATCTTCCAGGCCAGCACATCAAGAACCTTGAGAGATCACTCAAATAAATTAGATAAAGAAAAGTGTAATAAACTGTAAAGAAAAAATTTCATTACAAACAGAACTGTATATTTGTGGAATGGTCTCCAGGAACATGCAGTCTCAGCCCAGAACATAAACCAGTTCAAGGCGAGAGTGGATTAAAAACTCGAAGACAGAAGAAATAATTTTATTCCTTATAGTTTATAGTATATTAAGTTTCAACTGTCATGTAGTTATTTAGAATAATTTTTGTCACTAATTAAAAGAGCAGCTTCATCGACTATGTTGCTTGTCTATTCTTAACAATAATAATAAAATATATGCAGTATATGAGTGGTTAGAATGTTAAAATATTGCTTATATTTAATGTTAAGGGATTAAAACATTTTTCCACAGAGCTAGTATAGATAGAGATAGCGTCAAAGAGAGAAGTTGTCACATACATAAAATGTAAATAGATACATTAGAATTAAAAACAATGAACTGAAAACAAAATTAAGTTGTACATATAGACATCTTAGTACTCATGGTTTCTCTCTTAATTAAAGTAATCGACTTTTCTTCTTATTTTAAACATTTTACTTTTTTTTATAAATTATAGCACTCCTACTATAAAAATATTTTGTACGCCATTTCACCCAGTCCTCATTAAAACAAACAGCCTACTTTTGAAACCACAGCTTACTCAAGCGAAAAATACAGTAGGGATTAGGATCTCGAATCTTTTATGGCTATTGACACCTCAGGGTTATTTATTGTGTTGTATTGGGAGATAGTATGAGGCATATTGTTAAAGTAAGTACCGTTTTGAAATTCCGGCGCAGCAGCGCTGCGATCGACATTCTGCACATGCGCCTTGTTTACCTACATCTGGTGCCAAGACTGGCAAGCCACAGGCGCCATTTCAGAAACTTCCGACTAATTAAAGTTTGTTTTTGAACATTTAAAATGGCTCAGTTGATTAAGAATCCCGCAATCTGTGTAATACTATGAGCTATTCGTTTTCTTAGTGCTGAATTCGTGAAAGCGGCTGAAATTCATCGTCACATTAGTGAAGTGTAAAGAGAAAACATTATGAGCGATGGAATGGTAGGTACGGAAATGGGTTAATCTTTTAAAGATGGCCGCACGAATGACAATTTACGTCGCGGCTAAACCAACTCAAGATCTCATCACATCGTTTCAGTGGGAACAACTTGATCAGCCTCTTACATTCCCAACCAGTCACGCCGTTCGGCGTCGTGCGCACTGTGCATTGAACCACTATAACGCCGATTGGCGTCACGAGCACTGTACGGGACAATAATTTTGTAAAGGGTGCAATTAATAGTCAATACAAGAAATAAACACTAAATTTATACTATTTTTTTTATAAATGGTTTGAACAGTTTTCAAAAAATAATTGAAGTTTCAGTCGCCCTGCTATCAAATTGTCGCTTGTGAGCTTTTGCCTTTCAACCATAGATTTCGTTTTTTGTTTCATAACTATTTTTTTTAGAAAAATTACTTTGATATCGTCATACGGCACTGACTCAGAATCTGAAGATGAATGTATAGAAGAGAAAAAAACAAAAATAGTAAGTGCTGTTTTAAATAGATTTTTTAATATTGAAAAACTTATAAAGCTCAAAATTTGGCTTTGTCATGATGAAAAATACACATAGATATTGCGTTTTTGCAATAAATGACTCTAAAGTTTTCAATCTGAATCTATATTTTATATTAATACCTATGATGACTTGCTGCTAGAGATCTCCAAATTTGTTGTCGAGATTTCGCAGCTTCTGAGGTTTTAAAAATTTCTATTTATAATTTTTATAAATATTTAATATTCTTATGCATTGACAGGAAGTGAAACCATCATCAGTAATACCAGAAAGTCCTAATTTAGATGAAGATAATATTGATATTTTGGCTAAGATACATAAAAGAGCACAAGAACTTAAAACACTTGGAGGAGATATTCCAGCAGAAGTAAAGGATGTTGTGGAAAGCTCCAAAACGGCCCTTCTAAAATGTAAAAAAACCATAACCGGTGTTTCATTAGTAGCTGGTTACAGTGACAGCGATGAAGAAAATGAAGAAATAAAAGCAGTTTTACAATCTAAAGATGAACAATCTCAAATTTCTCATAGTACTCTTTTTCCTATTACCAAGCCTATTAATATCAATGATTTTAAATCGCCAGAGAAAATAGAAAATAATACAAATGTAAATAATTGTGATAGTTTCGATAATAAAGCATTTCAAAGAAAAAGAAGAATAGGAATTGCTTTAGTAAATACAACAAAAAAACATTCTGAAATAGATAATGAAGAAGATGTAAGAAAAGGGTTAGGTTTTGAACAAAACGAAAATTCAAATAAACCCAAAGATAATATATATCAAGGACTGAGAATAGGTGGCATAGCATTCGAAAAGTCTGAAACATTAAATCCAGTAAACACTACTGATGAACAAAAATCTGCTTCTAGATTAAAAGAAAATGAAGATGATGTCAAGAATTTAGAAGCAATTAATGACATGTATTCAACGTTACGAGAAAAATTGACATTTTTAAATGAAGGAAGACCAGATATATCTCCAGTGCAGCTAATGCTTATTCAAGCAGAAGTAAGTTATCTTAATACTTATTGAACAGAAAGTTTCTGTTGAAATGAAATATTTTTCTAGTCCATGATAATTTAACTAACCCAAATATATATGTTTTTTATTATTTATTCAAATAGATACATTACCAAATTATTATTTTAAATGGTACACATTAAAATATACATCTAACTCAAGTCACATAAAAAAAGACTAAAATCACATTTTCAAGTTGGCAACACTGACGTTATGTAGTACTCTATTAACATATCGAAGGAAGGAAACTTGTGCTAGAGACCGTTAACTAAAATAATTTATTGTTTATATGAAATACATATTTTTCAGACTTTATTTATGGCTATGAACGATGGAGCGTTAAAATTGTCATATCTTCAAAAATGGCTAAAGGAAACATGTTCGGAGTTAATAAAACTGGAAAAAGAAGCAACCCCTGCAGGCTGGATGCTGCAATGGGATAAGTATGAACAAAATTTATAAGTAACCCGTAGAAATAGGCTGACATTAAAAAATATATATATAAAACATTAAGAGACGATTGTGATTTAAGATTTAGTTTCAGAATGCATTATTTTTAGGACGCACAAGCGATATTTTTACCAAAATTTGACTACCGGTGAAAGTAAGTGGGAATATCCACAACCCGAGCTCAGTACTTGTGATGATGCCATGGATATATCTACTACCCCACCACATATTGACACAGAAGTAACTAATCCTATGTCACCACCTCTTCCTCCTACTATACGTAGTCCCACTCCGCCTCCGCCGCCTATAATTAGTAACATTAATCCAGAAGTTAATTTTAAAGGTATGTTTTTATAATATGTATATACTGGGGTTTTTCGCGAAAAAGGGTAATATGTGACACCTAGGCGGGTCCAGCTAGAGTAGAACTTCGTTTGCTTTAAGAACAGGCCAGACACGTCATCAGATTTTTGAATGGACAGACCCGATTCAAAAAAAAGCGGTGGTGTATAATATACAGGTCCTGTTAACTTTTAGGGATAGTAGGACCCATCAAAATAAATATTTATTTATTTATTCACGTGCTTTGCCCATTTTTAGTATAAAGTTACAAATCAAATCGAGTCAATTTAAATATTATGGCATAATAATGATAAAACTAATAAACTAACAACAAAAATCATAAATATATTAACATGTACAAAATCGAAACAACTAATATTAAGACTAGGGAATTAGGTCACAGTAAGTTTTAACAGCCTCACGAAATTAGAAAAGCTTGAATTAAAAAATTCAAGACTATCAGAACAAGCATTAGCGCTTCGTGAAACTCTAGGCATGAATGACTTGAGGCCAGTATTAGTTCTCATGTAGGGCTGATGAAAACTGTTTATTGACCTTGTGCTTCTAGTTGACGCTGCCAACAACATGCTTGAAAGGCAGTCAACCATATAATTAATAAACTTAAAAAATAATTTCAGATCTGCCTGATCTCTTCTTATTCTCAAAGTTGGTAAGGAGAATGTCTCTTGCAGTGGAATATTTGATTTAAATGCTAAGTAGCGAAGAAATTTTCTCTGAACCTGTTCTAATCTATAAATGTGACAAGTATACTGGGGGTTACAGACTGAAGAGCAATATTCTAGCAGAGAACTAACAAGACTACAGTACAATAACCTGATAGCATTAATACTTGTAAAGTCTGATGTGTTTCTCTTTATAAACCTAAGCATACCAAGTGCTCTGGTTACTATTGTGTCGATGTTATTGACAAATGAGAGCGTGGAGTCCTAATAACACCCAAATCTCGAATGGATGCAACTTGGGACACCCTTGATATTATATTGATAATCCTGTTGATCTTCCTAGTAAAGTATATCGAGTGACACTTAGTGATGTTTAGGTCCATAGCATTATACTCACACCACTCATCAAGCCTAGCTAGATCAGACTGAAGTTTGAGACAATCTTCAAGAGATGAAACTGCTAGGTGTCATCAGCAAAGCATAAAAATTTGGCAAACTTGAAACATTCTGATATATCATTTATAAATAATAATAAAGGTCCCAAATGGGACCCTTGGGGACTCCAGATGGATTGGGAATGTTTTTAGATCTGTAATTATTTAATATATGTCATATAACGCTTGCGATAATAGATTTGGACCTTTTGGATATACACTAAGAGGCTTAAAAGATACCTCGTCAAGATATTAACAAACAGTGAAAATTTAATTGAATAAAGTTAATATGTATTTGTTTTCTAGTAATCCAGTAATGCAACAGCAGTAGGCGGGGCGCTATTGATGACGTGTCAGGGCGTTCTTAAAGCACACGAACTTCTATTGCATAAGTAGGGCCTGTAGTGATTCGTTTCTGATATACAGCTTGTTGATTTCACTCTAAAATTTTAATGAACGTTGTTTCAACCGGCTGCGTCATTAAATTGATCGTTAATAATATTAATGTAAATAATATATTACTGTATTTATAAGTACCACTTTATATGTTTAAAATAAAAAATATTAGTTTTAGATGTTCCACTTCCAAAAAAATCTGTACCGCAAAAATCATTATTAGACAGTAATACACAACCCTTACCTCCTGGTGTGGATAGACATGAAATTCATACTTTTACACAACCAAAGGTAAGTGTTCGTTTTGAGTTTTCTAATTTTACTTCTTAAAACTTTAACACATTTTTATATAATATAATCACTTAAAAATTATACACAATATTGCAGTGTAGTTGCCAATTACCGAATTAAAGCTTAACCAGAGTGAATACTGCGTTGCTTAAAGCAGAGTTACAAAATATCCGCATTGGATTTTTAGTTAAGAACATCTGAGACAGCAATTTAACTAGAATATACAAGGTGTGACTATAAAAACCCTTCTTTGAACATTTTAACATTATCGCCGTCAATATACTTGCGAAATTTCCATTGGCCAAAAATAGATAGCTCCTTTATTTGACTACGTAACACATTCAATGGTTTATAGCAAGTTTAAAAAAAAAAACATATTTGCTCATAAATTTCCTGTCTAACTTAGATAATGAGGCCAAAATAATTATGAGTCTGTGAGAGAGCCCAAATACTTAATGGTTTTTATTACCTCTTTTTAAGGTTTGTTTTTGAGACTCAATCTACAATCAATCACTTCTCGTCTCTGAAAAATCATCTTTCTTTCAATAAAGCATAAGTTTTTGTGGCAGTTTTTCGATTTTCTTAAGGAATTTACATTGACGGGTTGCTCTCCTTGAACACATAAACATATTTCAGGTGGAGAACAGATGCAGTCAGTCCACTTCGAGTGGAGGCTATGACTCAAGTGGAATGCAGCCTTTTTTATAGCAACAGAGACGTCACGTGATCTTGACACAGAACTGTTTTTATAGCCACATATTGTACCTATGTATTGTTTATCTAAAATGCTGTGAATAAAAACTAATTTACCAGAAGCAGTTAGACGTCCAACTTGGTACAGCTAGCACTTTTCTGAACTTGTTAGACGGTTTATTGTTCCAAATAAAAATGTTCAAAATGAAAGTATATTTTTATACATGTGGTTTCTAGGAACCAGAAATCTCGGACCCTTTAAATTCAGCTTTAGATTCATTTTACTCCGATATCGCTGCCATCAGTTCGCCACCACCAACACTTCCGCATAATGAAGATCCAATTTTGGAAACCAATAGTACAGAAATTAAAACAGACATGCTAAAAAAGAAGAAGAAAACAAAGGTATATTTTATTTACTCTTTTCACTATCGCAGCACTGTTTTACTATATAGATTCGTTTTTTTTTTATTGCAGGTTAAATTAGCCCCAGGATTAGTAATGAAGAAAAAAGGAGTATCTAAGTTGGTTGAGAAGTGGAAAAATTTAGAATATTAATTAATTGTTAATAAGAATATGTAAATAAATATTTTCATTTTATACGTTGTATTTCGTCCGCAAGATCTTGACGATAATTTTGTTAATGAAATCCGTTTGGAAAAGATTAAATATTGTGCAAGTCAGGTTCTGACATTTTTGAATATAGTTCACTATAAAATAAGGAATATAAATAATGAAGTAAATCCACTGAATTTCATATTAAACTGGAAGTGCAAAACTATTTAAACGATAGCATGCCACATAGTGAGATGATTTTTGACAGTTTGAAATCCACATGGGTGTATTCAAAAGTAAAAATCAAAATGTAATTCAACTTTTCAACTACAACACAGGGGCGTGCGGTCCATGGAAGCGGGGGAAGCACCGCTTCCCTACAATTTGAAATTTAAAAATAAATATTTTTAAGTTTACAATGCATAGAAATTAATATTAAATTAGGTACTATATTTTCTCTGAAACATTACGTAAACTTCGTAAATGTACTAACAATTCAAAGGTGTGTAAACGCACGCACCACCCATGAGGAAATTAATTGTGTAAACGTACAAACGGTCTGTCAGCGGAAGCGCTTCTTGAAATAACCTGTTCATCTTGCAAGTGATTTCGCTTAGTGTTATTGACCCTGCTTTGCAGCGACAGTTTCAGTCTGTTTGCACACGTGAAATACGATCGAGAGGCAGCGTTTATTACGTCGCCTTACGCTTATTGCAATTCGCACCGCGAATCGACGTGTGAGGAAAATCTTAGATTTTAGGTAGATTTCAGTTTGTTTTTCGTAGTTGTTTTTCTTTTTGTAAAATGGAGGAACTATGTACTGTGCCTGTGAACAATAATAATGTGGTAAATTGTGTCTGTATTGTGTGCGGACATTATTAATTCTAATAGACTAAAGCGAAGTTTTTCAGCTTTAAAGCGCATTAAAAGTTTTATACGAAATTCAACAAGTGAAGACAGACTCTCTAATTTAGCCCTAATATCCATTGAAAAACAGCTTGTTAAACAGTTATCAGAAAATTCAAAATTTTACGACGATGTTATAGACAAATTTGCAGCCATTGAGGATAGGTGAATAGATCTTAAGTATAAATAAATGTCAACTGTGCGAAAAATGCTGGAGAAAATAAAAAAAAACTTCAGTTAAATGTTTTTTTTTTTACATTTAAATAAACCAAGGAAGCTTTTAAATGGTAAGTTTTTTTATAGCTTCTGGTACTAAACTAGGTAATAAAGTAATAGTAACACTTCAAAAATCTCAATCTTGAATATCCTTAGAACTGAGGAAAAAAGCAAGATTTTGACAAAATGGTGAATGCGCCGCGAAAAATTTTCGCCTGCTGGCCTGCTGTGTTTTTATACAATCGCTTCCCCTTCCAAAAATATCACCGCACGCCACTGCTACAATACCTTTTAATAATAAAGAAAGTCACTTACAAATTAAAATAAGCAGCTAAAATGAATGTTCGAATAATATTGATTAAAATTTTCCAATTGGAAGGTACTTTAATTAATTAAAATACTGCGTTATTGATAAAAAATTAATACAACGGAAAAAGTAAGGTTGGTTGCTTAAAATTGACAGTTTACAGCTCTTTAAGTCATGAGTGCTGACCGTTCCTTGCACCCATATTGGCTTAAAAATAAGTAGTAGAGCTTATTGGGATATAAATCCAGTTTAATATGAACGTTACTGGTTAATCTTACCTTTTGTTCATTGTATATAATAACTTTGATTTTTTTTTGTAATCCAAATAAAATAGTAAACAAAATAGCAAACTGCTGTCATGATTTAATAAGAATTATTGACATTTACATTTTAACTGAACTTTTTTCAATACAGAAATTGTGTTTCTTAAAAACACCAAAATATTATATCAATATAACTATGATGAACATGTAACTAGTTGAATTATTAACTTTGGTAAGCACTAGAAAACACTGAAATCTTTATATTTCTAAACAGTCTCGGCAAATCCTACACGATTGTTTCCCATATCGAATTCAGTGTAAAATTTTCCAATGAAGACATCACCTAAAATCCATAAAGGGCCATTTGGTGGTGGAATATCGAGTCCCATGAAACCTGAGAGACAGACTGTTTTGCCCATTTGTGAGATCTGAAATAATGTGTTATTATACTTTTTTTTCTACTCACTTATTTAGTTATCAACCATTTAATAATTTAATAGTTGAAACAATATCAACTTTGATATATTAAGAACAAGGAGTTTTATTTAGTCTACAGAACACCAACCAGATATAAATCTTTTTTTTTTTTCTATATCAAGTAAATATTTTTTAAACAGAACTTTAATTGAATTTTCTTGTTACCATTTTGGTTTAATCTCCATTTTTCAGAATGTTTTTACACATTCTACGAGTTTAATCTATATAAAATTATCTTACTCTTAAAACATAATCCTTTCCTTCCAAACTAAAAGATTTTCCATTTAAAATGAAGTCGACAACAGGTAATTTAGGAATAAGAGTACAATCCACCATACATTCTCCACCTACAATAGGAGTAGCCCCAATAGCCTAAAAAATAAAAATGTATAAAATAATAATCACTTAAATAAAAAATTTCATAAATTACCTTATTAATTTTCGCTATTTCTTCTACTGGTCCAGCTATCAGACTAGTACCACTATCTGCAATGGCCTGACAACCATTCACACAATATGATTCAGCACCAATTGTCACTTTATCCATTTTGAATTGCCAATAACCTTTTCTGGTCACAGGAACATAAGTAAAATCACCAGAATAATGTGCAGGATCTGACCCACCTAAAATAAGCTCTCCCCCTTGCTTGGCATCAGGATTTCTAAAAAAAAAAAAATTGTTTAATATCTTAATAATATTATCACTTCCGTGTATGTTTCACAATTCTTTAAAATTACCTGTTTAAATAGAAAGAGAAAATGGGTTGGGGCACCAAACCTTGTTCAATCATTTTATAGAAAACTGGAGGAACTTTATCAACAGAAATTGTGTCATATGCCATTCCCAAAATACCGTCAAATTTAGCTGCCACGAAAGCTAATCCAGGTTCACTAATAGCTTCTGCAAAGGTTTGGTCCTTAATTTTCAGAGAACCAACCTAAAAGATGAATAAAAATTGATAATAATAATGTTTTGTGCATCTTTATTGTTATGTTGTCAGTAAGAACAATTTTATATAATTTTAAAATAATGATCACACAATACTACTTACAGTAACTACATCTGTTGACAAAAATCCACTAAGACTTCCAGAACCATATTGGATAGCAAACTTGGTACCATTTTGTTGGTAAGTTGATGATTTTGTGGAATCATATTTATTATGCAGCACTGCAATAATAAAAATGAAAAAGAGCAAACTTTTATAAAACCCAAAAACAGTTCATCCTCAATCCTTATCTAAATAATAAATTAATGTCTTATTATGAAAACTTACAGCAAGCAATATTTGTAAAACTACATTTTTTGGAAGGAATCCATAAATTAGATGATCCTGTGTCAAAAATGACTTTAAATAATTGGGGTGGATTACCAATACTTATTGGTCCATAGTATTGGGCCTAGAAGATAAATACAGGAATAATTATTTGTGTTCCAAAAGAATATTGTAGTGGGTGACCATGTCAACTATCAGCAGATATCTCAAACTGCATCACAGGTTATTTGGAGAAAAAAAATTCTAACTTCGCCACTAGATGATGCTTATCATCAATTGATAAACATAAACGAGTGAGCAGTCAAAATTGAGTAAAATTTCGTACATATTATGATTTTCATATTTTTGAAATCACTTAATTTGGGATTTTGTTGAAAAATGACAATTTTTACTTTCCAGAATTTCCAACTAGTAAGAAAAGTATAGGAATCGGCAAATATTGAGGAAAATAAATCAGTTATAATAGTATATTATTAAACGAGCAATAATGGCCATAAATTGCGAGTCTAATACTATACTTTGTCCACGACCATTATGGTTTCTTTATTAAATAAAAGTTAAGTGTAGAATGGAAAGTTTTTATTAAACATAGGTAACTAATTGTTGTTTTTTCAACTTTTCAATTTATCGATTTTTTAATTTTTTCGAATTTCTGATTTTTCGATTTTTAGATTTTTTGATTTTTAGACTTTTTAATTTTCCGATTATCATACCATATGCTTTTAGTTAGGAGGTAGAATATTGATTTATTATTAAGTGGTCGTGGACAAAAGTATTTTATTATATTATAATATAATACACAGTTTTTGCTATTAAACATTGTTTTTTGTTCATGAACAATTATACATGGTAGTATTTTGAAGATTTTAAACTTTTATTTCAGCCCATTTGGAAAATAAATTCCCATTTGTCAAATCTCTGATAGGTATACCTTTTCTAGAAAATTAAACAAATATATTTTTATTAAATATATAACGAGCATTCTATTAACTGATATTCTCAATAATCCATTAACTTCTTAAAGAAACCCTATGAATAACTAATCTTAAAGAAACTCTATGAATAACTAAAATATAATGTACATTTTTATACTTCTTTTTTTGTGTGAAAATAAGAGCAAGTTTTGCTCTGTTTCTGATGTACCTAATAGTGATGAAATATTCTCCACATCACTAATCTCTGTTACTATATATTACTCTTTGATTGAAGATACTGATCTATAAAGAAAAATGTAATACAAATTACAAATAAGTACCTTTTAATAAATCAATTTTGCACAATGGCTGTTTAATATCAATATGATACTGGGACGTCTATGGTTTGAATTCTAACCTATAATATAAACTTACTTACCTATGAAATGAAAGATTAAGATTTAGATAATCTGATTTTCTATAAACTTGGCACAGCTTGACCATACTTGTCCAAAACTATCATTTTACAAGGAAATATAAGAATTCAAAAAGATACACGACAACACAAAACTAAAATACTATATTATTATTACTACTACTTTGATTTTATTATGAATGACCATAAATATTGCACTTTTGTTACCTTTCTAGAAAATTAATTTGCTGCTTATTATAATGAATCAAAATGGGTATATATGAAAATTTTTATATAAAAATCTTAATATTAATTGGTATAGATCAGAGCATCTAGGGGAAGGGGTCGTTTTTCCACTTTAAGGTTTATTTTTGTTATTTATAATTAGAGAAGAAAATTAATTCAATAAGAGTTGCTTGTGATGACATTCTCTATCATTTTTGGCATATACATGATTTCTGTAAAATGGACGGTAATGGAGAAATTTGAGGAAAAGTGTATACTTGGAATTTTCTCAATTTTAATGATATGAACTGTGTGTAAAAAATGGTTATCCTTAATTCATATTTTAATTATTTTGATTAGATTGCCTTTACTCATTATATTTAATAACTGTTATTATTGGCCTCATTATGCCCCCTAACAATGAAGTTAGAAACTTGAAAATAATTTCCAGTGGTTTCTTTTTTTTTAAAAAGTCTCACATTTGTTGGATAAATGGTTTCTTCGAGATAACAGGAGATATAGCAATCCTTGATAAAATATCAGGTTGTTATCTTTTTTAAGATATTTAAATAATTTTGTAACCAAAACGAGAATAATGAAATAGGCATGACAACAGCGGATATTATACACTCTCCTGTGTCCCTTAGAATATGTCTTATTCAGGATATTTGTTTGCAGTTACATCTCCTGTTATCTCTGGGTTCCTTACTGGCAACCTTCCTTATTTGAACACTCAGTTGAATTAAAAATAAAACATAAAAGGTTAATTTTTTCATAGAAAGATACAAATTTCCTTCTGTACCCTAGCCACTGAAAATATTGATGAATTTCTAAGCAATGTCAGATGTCCTTCTTTCAATCTGTATGTTTATCTTTATTTTTGAAAACAAATATTTACTCAATTATATTAATATTAGCACAGTTGAACTTTCATAAGTCAAAAATCACAAAGGTCAGAATTATGTTGATATCTCACAGAAGATAAAATGTATTAGCTCACTAACATGATAGAAAGACCATACAAGATAATCATGTTTTTTTTAATTATAAAGCAAAGCATCTGTTTTATTTATAAAATTTATAATAATTGTTCAATGAATGTTAGGTAATTCAATACCTAGGAGCTTGATGGTTTATCAGACCTCCATATTCATGTTTAATTGTACTTTTAGTACTTACATCTAAATAATTTGATAAAGGTTCAGGTGTAGGTCCAGTAATATCATAACTATATTTTAATACCACTCGATCTACTTCAGTTCCTACATTTTGTAAAGTTCTTCTTATTGATGTAAATTTTTGTAATGGTATTCTAAAAAATACCTAATTAATACCTAAATTTTAAAAATGAAATAAAAGAAATACTAACCTTACAAAAGAAGAATAAGCGGTAGATATAAATATTAGAAATAGATAAATACGCATTTTATCTAATTATAAAAGTTTGAAAAAATATGAATGGTCGTTTCTAAAAAAACATATATTTCTTAAATACCTCCAATCCAATCACATTCACAACCACAACAAAACAGAAAATACCGCAAGCGCAAAATTATGACATCGCTTAGCCAGTGCAGTGCAATGGGATGTGGGAACGTAAAATTATTTTAGCCGAGTTCGGCAATTCAAGTTCCTTCACACCTTTGACTATCCAAACGTACCGTTTGCGTTTGCTCCGCCAACTTCCTTATGCAAATTTACAATTTTTGGCATTTGGTTTCCATGGTGACTGTCGGCATTCCTCTGCCTGTAATTGTCATACTGTCAAGTACTCTTTTTGATTTTTGGATATTTGCTTGCGGTGCAAGAGGTTAAAGTGGATATTTCTAATTCAATATTTTAGAATTCTTGGATATCTTATAGTCATAAATATGATGGTTAGTAGATACGATTGTATATTCAATCATAATTTGTTCTATATTAATATTTTTTTGTAGCAACCGCAAATTGTACTCTTAAAAGAGGGTACTGATACATCACAAGGCAAACCACAATTAATATCTAATATAAATGCCTGCCAAACTGTTACAGAGGCAGTTCGTACTACGTTAGGCCCCCGTGGCATGGATAAACTTATAGTAGAGAAACTAGGAAAAGCTACTATATCGAACGACGGAGCAACTATTTTAAAATTATTGGAAATAGTCCATCCAGCTGCCAAAACTTTGGTAGATATTGCTAAATCTCAAGATGCAGAAGTTGGTGATGGCACAACCAGTGTTGTATTACTTGCAGGAGAATATTTAAAACAAATTAAACCGAATATAGAAGAAGGTGTTCATCCAAGAATAATAATTGGGGCTGTTCGAAAGTCACTGCAGATTTGTTTAGAAAAAATTAACGAGTTGGCTGTAAAAATTAATAAGTCTAATGCTGAGGAGTTCAGATCGCTACTGGAAAAATGTGCTGCAACAGCCATGAGCTCCAAATTAATTAATCAGCAAAGATCTTTTTTTTCTAAAATGGTTGTTGATGCCGTTTTATCACTTGATGAGTTACTACCTTTAAATATGATAGGTATCAAGAAAGTCAAAGGAGGTGCTCTCGAAGATTCAATTTTAGTTACAGGAGTAGCTTTTAAAAAAACATTTTCTTATGCAGGATTTGAAATGCAGCCAAAGATTTATAAGAACTGTAAAATAGCATTGCTGAATATTGAATTGGAATTGAAAGCTGAAAGAGATAATGCAGAAGTTAGAATAGATAATGTCAAAGAATATCAGAAAATTGTAGATGCAGAATGGAATATTTTATATAGTAAACTACAAAAAATCCAAGAATCTGGAGCCAGCGTTGTACTTTCTAAATTCCCTATTGGAGATGTGGCTACTCAATATTTTGCTGATAGGTTAGTTATTATTACAAAAATACCTTGAGAAAACCCATAATTTTCTGAGAAATATTTAATCAAAAGTTGCAAGATTTTGACCTTTCTATCTAATCTAAGTTCATACAGTTAAATATTAGGCATTCCAATGACATGTCCAAATGGCTACCAGTGGGTAATGACAGTTTAGATATGGCAACCCTGTTGTCATTAACAGGGTCAATGATACATATATAGTTATATAGATTGCTCAAAGCTGGTCGTTTACGAGTGGCCATATTGCCTGGCAAATATTTATTAATTTGAATCGGTTTAGCAAAAATGTGTTTTAAAACCAATTTTTAGCCTTTAGATATTTAAAAAAAATATTTGCTTACATTTTTACTTCAAGGCATAAGCTTATGTTTATTTTGAAAAATATGGATGATCAATCTATGTAACTATCTATTTCATTGACCTTGTCAAATCACCAGGCCTACAGGGTTGCCATAATTTTGCCATATCATAACCCGTCAGAACCACATACTTTGATTACTATACGAGGCAAGAGAGAGGTCCGACACGCCCAACATAGGGCGCGGCCATTTTGAACCCTGTGACACAGTTTACAGCTAAAGAATCAGATCGCTCACTCTGCCTCGGCACTTTTGATCTCAATGTTTCAGTTTATACACTGTGCAACTCGGATAATACAATATATGACAACCGCCTATAATAAAATAGCAGTCTTCTGCGTATCCTGAATTTGTATCCCTGGAGTGGATGTTATTTTGGAACTTTCAACTGGTCCGAGTGAGCTAACTGATTCTTTAGCAATAAACTGTGACTTCAAAAATAATATTCACTGACACTGGCTGCGTTCATCCGCGCCATTTCAAGGAGCGCTACAAAAGTAGCGATCACTTACGCTACCTGATCGATCTTTATGCACGGATGAATCATGTTTAAAAGTGACATTTGATTTTGGTTTATTCATTTTACTTTTGAGTTGAATATGTCTTTGGTTGAAGATTTGTTTGTTTATTTTTCAATTGCTAATATAACCCTACTAGTCACCAAGCAAACCGTGGACGTAAGTGCGTAAGACAGATCAGTGATCACCGATCAGACGTAAATAAAATGCGCTACTTTTAATGGCGGCCGCTCCTTGAGCGAAATGTCAAAATACACCGTTCATACGTGCCACTCGAGAGCGCTACCAGATCGATCAGGTAGCATGTGGCGCGGATGAACGCAGCCAATGACAGCAGCAAGCAAAATATCAGGTGCGTTTTAATCATCCGCTTCTGCTTCCGGAATTGTCGGTTTAGTCGTTTTAACCTTTCAGATTAAAACAAGAAAACCAACAATTCCGAAGCAGAAGCGGATGATTAAAACGCACCTATTAAAAATATTGCGCCAAGATGTAGGCAACACGTAATAAGGGTTCAAAATGGCGGAGTTTTCTATCTCCTTTTAAAAGGCACTCAGAAAGCTGCGCAGTGCGACCATTCTCCGTATAGTAAAAGAAAATCAAAGTATGTGGTCATAACCCACTGGTAGCCATTCGGTTTAGAATGCCTAATTATCTTCCAAATATTCAGTTAAGAAGTCATAATATTGAAAGTACTGATACAATAAAATTTCTTGAGAAAATTTTAAATTAAAGACAAAAGTTTATTATAATTGACCGAGTTTTACAATAATTTAAAATTCATTGTAAAACTCTGTTTAAACAATACATTTTTCTATGTTCGGGATAGCCATAAGCAACACTATATTATAATTATATACAAGTTTTTTATTTTAATATAACTTTTTTAGAGACATGTTTTGCGCTGGTAGGGTTCCAGAAGATGATATGAAGAGAACATTGAAAGCTTGTGGAGGTGCAGTTATGACTACTGTTAATGATCTGAATGATTCAGTTCTTGGTAAATGTGATACATTTGAAGAAAAACAGATTGGAAGTGATAGATACAATTTTTTCAAGGGTTGTCCAAATGCTAAAACTTGTACATTGATATTACGTGGAGGATCAGAACAATTTTTGGAAGAAACCGAAAGATCTTTGCATGATGCTATAATGATTGTTAGAAGAACAATAAAAAATGATGCAGTTGTAGCTGGAGGTGGAGCTATCGAAATGGAATTATCAAAACATTTAAGAGACTACTCTAGAACAATTGCAGGAAAAGAACAACTGTTAATAGGAGCTATTGCTAAAGCTTTGGAGATAATTCCAAGACAGTTGTGCGACAATGCTGGTTTTGATGCAACAAATATTTTAAATAAATTGAGACAAAAACATGCTCAAGGAAATTGTTGGTATGGTGTTGACATTAACAAAGAAGATATTAATGATAATTTTGATGCATGTGTTTGGGAGCCAGCAATTGTTAAAGTTAATGCTTTGACTGCTGCCACAGAAGCTACATGCCTCATACTTTCTGTTGATGAGACAATTAAAAATCAAAGCAGTGAAGAACTTCCCATGACTGGAGGTCGTGGTTTAGGAAGACCTGAATAAAAAAATCACTTGGATTACTCAGAATCTCGTTACCTTTCGTTTGTTAATTTCTAACTATTTTCAAATAAATCTTTTAGAATATAATACACTGTATTAGTGTTAAGTGGGGATGGTGTGTGTGTGTGAGCTCATGTTTTATGAAAAAATCAGCATTTACAACCATGACGCGTACCAGATTTCCTGTCAACTAAAATAGTTTCAATCAGAAAAAGCCATTCAACTGATAATAATGGAGGTTTGATCCTTCTCCTCACAGAATCTGCAATCAATATCTTCTAATAGAATCAATGTGTCCTTTGAGTCGGAAATGCCCGTTAATGATCCACGTTACTATGTTTAGCTTGTAATACAGGTTTTCGATCTTTTCTAGATATAGTCGCCCAAAAAAATATTGGCCCCTAGACATTTTGTCCAAAAAATATATCTTTATACACACGCAATTTTAAAGGCAAATTTATTCACGTATGGACGGATTTTGTAAAAAAAAAATAAACAAATTAAACATTTGTAATCTCTAAAAAATAGCCATTCATTAAAATAAAAAAAAAGCATAAAATATTTTTTCTACCAGTACGTCACTGGAAACTGGAAATACTTGTCCGCCATATTCACAAACCAGCGGTGTTTCAAGGTGGTTTAAAGGAAGGCACCTTTAAAATAATGAACTGGAGTTCATCGATTTAAAAGCGCCGACACGCGATGAAAAAGAAGAAGAAAATTTTTTGTTTTGATTTAAAATGTCAGCTTCTATAAAAATTTAAAGTTAGAAAATTAAAAATGTCAGAATTCTCAACACAACTTACAAACAGACATTATTCTAAAACCAACAAAATGTTTAATGAAGAAAATGCTCCAATAATAAACAAATCGTTATGCACAAAATCGAATTGCGATCCAAATGGAACATTAAAAGAATGTGATGAAAGTTTAGATATAAAATTAGGACGGTTAAGTTCTTCGAGTTCATTAAGTTGGAGCGACGAGTATGAAAGTGAGATTACGAAAAAAGTTTTTGAAAAATTGAGAAGGATTGATAGGGTATTGAAACAACTGGAAGAATTTCCTTCGCACTTTGATAAAGAAGAGTTTGGGCAATGGATGCAGACCTTTCCAAATATTAGGTTGGCAATTTAAATGGTTTTAATGAATAAATATATACATTAATGTTTTTACTTTTAGTATATTTGATGCAGAACCTGCCATTGATAATAAGGACATATTGGTGTTTGGTAGAACCTCCTCAAGAAAATGTGATAAATTTAATCAAAAAGAATCTTCTGTGATAAACAATTTTGAATTTAACTATAATAGGTTACTAACACAAAGGAGTGGAAATAATCGTAAAAGACACTTTGATGACTTTAACACAAGAAACAAAAATATTTTTACTATATCAAATAAACCTAAAAATTTAGATATTGATAGATCATTGAAAATTATACCAGTTAAAAAGCAGACAGAACGAAAAATGTCAACCAAGTCACTTAGACAATTATCTAAAGAATACACAGAAAGTCCATCACAATTTGACTCTCTTCCCTTTATAGAAATTGAAGAAGTTGGCAGTGAAAATAGGAACCCATCAAGTAATTTAAAGACTAAAAAATATCTAAACCATTCTTCAACTCTAGGCAAAAATAGTAATGTCTTAATTTTACCTCCTATTCATGGATATAAGCTTAGATCAATATCAGCTACTCCAGGCCAAGATAAATCATCTCTAAATTGTTTCTAATTTGAAATCCATTAAAAATAAGTACATGTTTTAAGTTTAACAAGATCAGATAGGTAGATACCTTATATACTTAATTTTGCCAAACTAACTTGTCTATAAATTATAAAGAAAATGAAAACATTAAATGCCTTTTATTTCCTTATTTAGAATAAAATGTTCCTACTAAAAAATTATTGACAGCAAAGAATTGAAGCATTTGGTGCAAAAAGGAGTTAACTCATTTTTTAGTATTTTTATTGTGAACAAGGTATTTTAAATGTGCCTGTTATTAGATATGATTAGGATATTTATCTGCAGTAAAATTGGGTACAAACCTAAACCTTGATTGCATTTAGCCAGAACCTGGTGCATTTAAAATTTGTAACATTATTATATTCCCTAATAAACCAAGTGACAAACTTCATACAGTGTGTTCCATAAAGTTGGATACGTATGGGATTTTTTTAATATTAATATTGGAAAAAACGTGGTGGAGCATTCACTTCTGCTTTTTTAAAACTCGAAATAGCCCATATTAAAGTTGGCTAGGTACTGTATTAGTTATTTGTCAAATTCGGTATTTTTTTGAGAAAACATTCTTCAAAAAAGGAAAATTTTTAAATGCCAATTTGACAAAAAAATTAATATCAGTAGCCAACTTTGTTATTGACTATTTTAAATAAGCAGAGGTGCTTGTCCTACGTTTTTTCCAATCTTAATATTTAAAAAAATTCTTATATGAATGCAACTTTATGGCACACACTGTATATATCGTACCCTTACTGAATATACCGACTAACTACATATTTTGTGATAGATTTAAAGTTTGAATTTAAAATTATATTAATAAAAAACCAAATTTTTTTTCTGAAGTTTGTGGCAGTCTCATTATAATAAATAAATACAAATCTTGTGAGATAAAAAGGACCTTTTTCTTTCTTTTACCTTCAAGTTTAAATACATTAAGTCTTTTGATATTTATATGGTTTTGCTTTTAAAGAAAATACTTGTTACACATTTAGCAGTTATATTTACATGCAAATTTATGAAACCTATAGGACATCTTGCAAAAATAAAGGTAATTTTATTATTAATTAGGGATAAATTTAAATTGATTTAAAAAAATTGTATAATAGAATTGAAACCAATGTCGTTATTATTAATAAAAGCAAGTTTAGTACAAATTTTTTAATAATGTAAAATAAAACAGGATTTTATATTCATTATCACTGCTGTCCTCTAATACTGCAAGATCTGAAAGGTGATTGATCAATTCCTTGAATGTTAATCATTTGTACTAGCTGTGGTAGTCTTCTGTGATATAAATTTGAAACAGAGTTGGTCACAGTATTGAACTTTGTGGTACTCCACATACAATATCTGACATATTACTATCCACACCATTTGAATGGGTCTATAATTACTGGACATGGAGCAATTACCACCTTTAAATATTGGAATAACTTTTGCTCCTTTAAGAGCACTTGGTACAGAGCCAGATGTAAAAGACAAGTTAATAAGAGTACTCAGACTTTGAGATGTCATTATTGAATTCCTTTAGTATTTCAGCTGTTAGATTATCTTTTCCAGAACTTTTATCTTTCTTCAATGATAAAATTATATTACTAATTTCTTGACTAGTAGTTGGTTGCAGATTAAAGTTATTTACGTTATATGACCAGGACGGTGCATTCTCAACTGGTTCACATAACTGAGCAAGTTGAGGTCCTATACTGGTAAAGTAGCTATTTATTTCTTCCACTATTGACTTTGGGTCATTGATTACAGAGTTATTAATTGTCAGTGAGGAAATTTCAGAACACTTTTTCTTTTTAGAGTTACTAATAATAGTATTTAGAGCTTTCCACATTTTTTTTGGATCATTTCCAGCACTAGTTAATTGATCTTGATAATACTCTTTTCCTTTTTTCAATAGCCAACTTAACAGAATTTTGAGCACTCTTATAAACCCTCTTTAAATAATCACTGCCAGGGAATTTTTTATGCCTTTTGAAATGGTAATCCCGAATAACTATTAAATTATATATTTGCACGTTAAACCAGGGTACACTATTACCTCTAAATCGATTTTTTCTAATAGTTTGTATACAGCAATTGAAAGACCTTAGAATTTCATCGCAGATGATGCTGGGATCATGCCAGTTGGTTGTTCTGATATGTTGGAGCAGCTGACTAAATTTAACCCTATTGAATATATTGATTGTACAATTCCTATTATTTACAGATTTAGTTTTCGAAAACTGCAAGATCTGACATCTGTGGTCATTAATATTTCCATCGACAATAGCTAGATCAGTTGTTTCATTATTATTACTAATTGTGTAGTCTATCAGAGAGAGTTTTTGAAGTTGGGGTAACTCTTGTCAGTATATCCTCATTAATGTTAATAAATTCATTAGAAAAAATTGTGAACCCAAGGTTCCGTTTTTGCACATTATTCACCAAATAGTCAATATTAAAATCACCAAAAATCCAACACTTCTTCCCATTTTCATTTAAAATTTCCAAATTCTCATCTAGTTTAATAAAAAAGGTGCTGATATCATAATCTGCAGGTCGATAAATACCACCAATTACATAATTAATTTTTTCTATATGGATAAAGAGCATTGAACATTTATCTTCAACTTTGGAGATTATTTTATATGGATAACAGGTTTTTATTAGAATTCCAACACCACCACCTTGCTTATCATTACTAACATATACAGCATAAAAATTATTGAAGTTTTTAAATAATTTGCATGGTTCGTTATAGGATTTAATGGGTGGCCTATTAGCAGTAATTTAATTTCTGTTGATAAGGCATCCAGATTACAAATCGTAGTGTGTTATCGTTTCGTTGGTTTTCCCCACCTATGAGTCAAATGGCACCAAATAATATTAGCCGTCTCTTCCCCACACAAGCTCAGTCGGTTTGAAGGGGTTAAAACTAACTCGTAAGGTGGTGAATTAGGGAACTTGTTTTCCCTCGTTATATTCAGTTATATATTTCAGCTAATTTCTTCAAGTCCTTAAATTCATAGTACTTGAATTCTTTGACGTGATAGGGGTTTTCTTTTTTACTTTCCTCTCTGTATACAGATAAGGAAAGTATAATAATCATGATTTTTTTTCGACCTAGAGTTTTTTACGGATTATTTGTTTTTGGGTCCCCTGAATCCGTTTTGACTATTTTCGCGGTGATGTGTATGTATACTCGATAACTCATGAACGGATGCAGAGAAAAACACCAAATTTTAAATTCAACCTATAAAAGAATATAATTTTTTTATTCATTATTTAAGTAATAGGATATACGTAAGATATTAACATTTTATACGATAGTGGACATACTGGTGTCCCAAAAGAAATTAATAGAACCTCTAAAATAAAATTGTGGCGAAAATGCAAAACCAAATAAATTTTGAATCGATTTAGTGTTAGATTTTCTTATCTTTAATTTTGTTAAAAACTCCTCAAAAAAATTATTATTATTATTAATTAGTAGTTTGTAATAACAAGAGTCGATGTGATGCTTATATCGCACAAAGACGACGTTTTAAAACGACGCCTTGCGATTCGGATAATCCATTCGAGTTGTACAATATATTTTTTCAAGGTACAAAGGTGATAGAGTGGGTGCTATGAACTAACATGGGGTAAAACACAATAAGCCAATAGGCTTCAGTGTTATTCGGAGACACATAGTCAGACGAGCCCAGGAGAAAAAAAAAAGATGAAATACAAGACAAATGTAAATTATATTAAAATTCAACATAAGTTTGTATAATAATTACAAAAACTTGAAGCCCCGGCCCCTTGCTTCAGAAGTCAAAGCATTATCTACAAACCACATTGCTTTTGTTTACGAGACGGTATAGTAACGATGGGAAAGCCAAAGTTCACCAAGTTAACCATTCACACTCATTTTCTGCATAAATTACAGAATTAATATGTCTACTGAACGGGTACAAATTTATATTCATTCTATAATTTATATCGTTAACGTGTAAACCTACTAACTCCATACGTAATAATTTTACAGAAGCAAAAAACCGGTTCATTTAAAAATTAGAAAAAAAAAATTAAGAGTGCCCAACTATGAATAGTGTTGATAACTTTTTGTCTTGTTTTTTAACAAAGCCAGTCTTTACAATACTTACGGTTTGAATTAAAAAATTATGCACAAAAACAAATGAAGTAGGTATTCTCGAATCAATCCCTTTATTGTTATTGAAATAACATTTGCTTTTTTTAATAAAATAGTTCCGTGCCAACCATAATTATTTCGATTTTAACAAAAAAAAAAAATAAAGGTTTATCGGAATTTGAATAAAAACTGGCATCGCTGCTTATGTGTTTCTATCATTCAGCGCTTTGACCAGAGATTCGCCTAGCGAACGAACTTTGAGAAATTAGTTTTGAGCAAAATACTTTAGAAAGGAGGTTCGTATCTTAGGTATGTAATGGCTTAAAAGTCTGAATAGGTCAAGTATAAACTGCCGGCTTATAAAAGCAATCAGAAAAAAAATCAAAGTCGCTGTGATGCCATCTAAACTCAAATGCTTTTTTTTTAAATATTTGCTTACTGGTTAGTAATTGTAATTATTAAACTAATTTAAATAGTGATCTATATTGAAAAAAACTTTTTTATTGTTGATTTCTAAGAAAATTTTATTCTAGATAAAAGTTGGTGCATAACTTAAAACCCAATATAAACTTTATGAATATTAAAATTTTGTACCATATATGATGGAGGTAAAAAAAAAAAAATGTGAATATGTCTAAAGTATCCTCATTCAGAAGTGTATAAAAAAGTTTTTTACCTTTTTGGAATAAAATTGAAGAAAATACATATTTATTTTGCAGTTAAATCACTAATTAGATGCTTTATGTACAAAATGAACAACTTAAATAAAAAAATCTGGTAAAAGTATTTTGAAATGTTATTTCAAAATTAGATAAAAACAAGTATATAAAAGGTACGATTTTTAACAGATGTGCTTTTATTTTAAATTACATATACATTACAATATTGTACCTGCACATTCATTTATTATCCTCCTTTTTAAATCATCTTCATGGTAATAAATGCAAATATCCAATTAAGTAAATAAATAACTGTACAATCTATAATAAATAATAAATATATAAACAGTAAATAAATCCTTATTATATGCTAAAATATTTTTGGTTAATTATTAATAATTATCAGGAAAACAATATACTTTATTATTATTACATTAATAATTTATGGCAGCTTTTTGGTACAAGGTTTATAAAGTACATTGGACTATTTTTACATTGTGTTTAGCATTCGAATTATAATATAAAGAATATTTAAAAATCAAACGATTAATAAATAATAAGTAATTATCATTGATACATTTTAACTATGGTAGTAGTACTTAAAACAGTATAATACATTTCCCAGAACCACGAAGCTTGATAGATGATAGCACTGAAAGGGAGTGCAGGCACGCTTGGGATAATACTGACTGTCACTGCCACATTTAACAATGTTTACTTATCGCTGGTAACCCAACAAACAACAATTTAATGTACAATTAATAATACTATGAGTTATTAGTTACGATACAAGATATTTTAGTTCATTAAAGCTCATATATATCTTTCATTTTCAAATTCTGAAGATTTTTCTACACCTCATCTCTCCCGCAACAGAGTACATCAAATTCTTCCGTTTCAAGTTATCAATAAAGATTATTTATAACTCAGTGATGCAATTATGAAAACAATGGAACACTACGTGGTCATTATTTATTAGTCGTAGTGAAGGTCTGGAACATATCAGGATTGGATGTCTTGCGGCCTTCGATCCGTAGCTACACTTAACAAATTTACATATTCTATTTTCAGGTTTTGCCGCGCCTACAAAAAAAAAAAAAAAACATTCTTTATTTTGAAAAAAATAATAATAATGTTACTTATTACCTGTGTGTTTTGAGTAGGTATCTGTAAAGCTAACGCCATGCTGTCTGCATCGAAACTCTCATCTAAAGCAATCAAAGCACCATGAACTCCTGATTCTTCCAAATTATTAGCATAATCCTTGAAAGTAAAATGATCCATTAAACGTGAGAAAAATTAATAATACAAACAATTACCTTTAAACCTATAGAAGCCACCCATTTGATTAGGCGTTCATTACTCCATACTAAAACATCTGTTGATGAATTTTCACTGTTTTTCCTTCTATCTTCTAATGCATGTCTATCGAAATTTAATCTTTTTAGACAAGATATACCATAATGTAAGCTAGTCCTGAAAATAATACATAATAAGTTTTTGTTTGACAAATATTTAAAATGTACCTGTGAAATCCATCAACCATTTTTAATTGCCCTCTCAAATCTTTTTTTGTTAAATGATCTAACATACGTGCATCTACTAAACACTCCATGAAGGTAGTTCTGTATTGTGGAAGTCCTAGTGCTGGAAGCCATGAGTTACCAATCCATTCATGATTCATATCTCCAAATGCTAGTGTCGTTCTAGATGTTTTAGGTGCTGAAGGCGATGTTAAAGAAACCATTTCCTGGATCGCTAAGCGTAATTTTAATCTAAATAAAAGGGTTAGTAGAAAAAAAGAATTAGTAAAAAATAGAGAAATAAAGAATAATTAAAGAGATATTGCTCTGGACACTTCAAGGTAATTTCATATCTTTATTACCTCAAAATATAGAACACACTGCATTCGTAAGCAGTAATATTTAAGTAATACCAATACTTTCTCATAATATATTACCTATTACTATAATATCAGTATTGGAAAGGAAAGTACTAATGTTAATTAAGTTTAAATTGTTTATAACCAATAAAGAACTAATTAAATAATAAAAAGAGGAGTAATGAAGAAGCCTCATTTTTAAATGATGTAAAATTACAAATTTTTTTAAATGATAACAATATTTTCTTGTTCTAAAGGCGACATCATTCTCAGAAATGGGTTATTTTGTAGTTCTTATTTTAGCGAACATGAACCTTTTCATATTTTAATGATTACATCATAATTTCAGATCTAATTTTTAAATTTAATTTCTTATTCTCTCGAGAAAAGATGGATCATTTAATCGGACGTATTTGAAAAATAATTCATTTTTAAAATGTGTAACATTTTTATTGAACTTTCATTAATTTGTTTCTGATATTTTTATTAAAAACCTCCGGAGGATGATAGTTCAATCCTTCATAACTTATGCCCTCTAGAAAAAAACCAAAGGCTGGGAATTCAAACATTTCTATTACATTGGTAAGCAGTGCAATAACTCTTAAGACACAAATTAAAAAAATACCTATGCAAAGGATTACTGATGCCTATTTCTCTTTGTATCTCCGTATCACTTAATGCACTCATGATGGCTCCTGATTTTACGTTGGCTCGACACGCCGCTACATACCAAGCCGGCATTCCTACCCAGAGCTCCAACCATGCGACTATTGTCGGTCCATTCCACAAAGCAAACGGAGTACCCGCTTTCATTGCTTCCGCTAGTAACTCATGTCTATAATCACGATCCCTGTTAAAAATGTTTTTATTAGAAAACAGTAGTCCAAAACGAAATATACAATGTTTAGGAAAAATATAGAGATACATTATTCTATTCTATTATCAGTATTACTGTTCGGTCGTTGAAGTAAATGATAAAGGTGTGATCGGATGAACAAATATAATACTAGGGTATGGGGATCTAGAATGTTGTTGAAAAAATTTGGTTGGGATATTATTATCAACCACCCCCTTATTATCATTATCTTACATACTCTAATTTTCGTCTTTTTCCAAAACTGAAGGATTTTTAGGTCGAAGCTGTTTAGCAAATAATAATAAGTTAGAAAACGGTAACCAATTATGACATTTTTGTTAGTGTAATTCTTGCTGATGATGGAATGAAGTAGATGAGTTTATTTAAAAAACAAAAACCTTGTGGTTCAAACTAATTAGAAAAACATAATATATAAAAAGTAACTATCTAGAGACTCACTTCTTTTTCTGTTTCCTCTCGAACTCCCCTTTATGTACAACTTTCGCCGATATGCTCATTCCATCACTAATGTCTCCATCTGGCATTCCAATACTTCCCTGATTGTAACTGATATTAGAGTCTTGCCCAGACGCTTCTTTGCCTTTCACCTAAAGTTGCAATTCATTTCTTTTGTTAATTATTTAAATACATTTTAAAGATAAAAAAAAACGTCAAGATCTATTTTTATGATTTAGTGTTAATTATATTTTTATTTTGTAACATATCTTTCATTTTTTCTAATGCAAACATATTGAAAAAATCAAAATTAATATTTGGCTAGTATTCTTATTTTTGTCTTTATACGTGATTGGAATAAGTTGAAATGTTCATTCGTTTCGTAATCAGAAGCGGCGCTAAGGGGGCTTATGCACAGGGCGCAAGTCAGGGGAAGAAAAATGTATTCTCATTCCACTTTTTGTATACCATTACAAGTATTTTCATAGGGTACAAAATTATTACTAATAAAAATCAATTATTTAGTTTATTATCGTAAAAAATGGACGGAAAATTCTCCTTTCTGCACCGGGCGCCAGTAATCTTAGCTCCGCCACTGTTTGTAATATGTAAAAATAAATATACATAAATATATGAAAATATACGAAAATATACGTAAATATACGTAAATATACGTAAATATACGTAAATTTATGTAAATGTAAATAAATATATACTATTTTAAACTGACCTTCTCTTTTTTGCTGAAGAACCGTCCCAGAGACGATTTGAGGCCCTTTTTCTTCTGAGCGGCAGCCGCGGCGGCAACAGCAGCGGCGGACGACATATCTCTCGGTAGACCAGACAGGGTGTTTTTGTGTAGGCTCTCCTGGCTGCTGTGACGAGAGGACAGAGGTGATGGAGGTGTGTGTGTCTGTCCATGCCTAAACATACTACATTCTACTTTCTAAACTAGACCTAATTTCAAGCAATGTACAACACGAACTAGCAACGTAAAGGGAAAATAGGATAGATTTAGTCCATTTAAAAGATATTATAGAATCGCATACAATAATGTTACTCTATTAATTGCCTTCAGGTCTATTCGGGTTCTATCATTTATTTAAGGTTCTAGCCGCTAGCCGTGCAATTGAATATCTGATTTTTATAATTGGTCCATTCACTTTCATTTTTGAACTTGTATTATTTATATTTATAAATATATTAAACTCTTAGATTTTTCTCATTAAGAAATATTAACTAAAAGAAAGGGAATTTCCATCCTATTCTTTCACTGAACATTGTGTCAGATAACCCCTAATTCCCTTGTCGGATGTTATTTTAGCAGTTATAATTATTTTTATTTGAACTGAATATTACCAGATCGTAATTTGTTTTCTAAATATATTTTTTGGCAAACATGGCAATGTTGTATGTATTTCTAGAAAAGCGTCTATGGAAAGAGCTACAAAACTACAACAATTCAAACAGACATACAATGTTGCCATATTTCCCAAATAAATTATTTGGTAAAGAAAATTATTGTTTGGTAATATTCAGTTGGAGTAATAATAATTATATCTTTACTAATTTTTAAAAGGGGCAATAGGAGGGGTAAAGATGGGAATTAGAGATTTTCTGACACAAGAGTCACCGAAATAATTTTATGGTAATTCCCTTACTTATAGCTAAAATATCGTAATGGAAAAAGTACTACAACACAAAATAGTTTAATTAAATAAAATATATGAATAAACAACTTCAAAAATGAAACTGAGCGGGTGCATTCATAAAAAAATGCGAATAAGTCCATTCATTGTTGGGATTATCCTCATGAATATCTTTGTACATTATTTACAAAAGTATGTTACTTTCCCCGAAAAATTACTAAATAAATTGGAGTTTGGATGTACAAACGAGATAAGACTTTTTTCATAAAACTGCCATGTCAGTGTTGCATTAACTGTTTTTAATTTATTACTCCAAATAGGAAAGCTAAGCAACTTTAGCGAGGTGTAGGTTTCTATTAACCACATAATCATCCTTATTCACAAAGCATTTATAAATAGGTACCTACATAAAAAAATTTAAAGATAAAAACATCAATTTAAGAAAAAGTAGAGTTGGATGATGGCGTCATTTTGCAATCACATTTTTATTATTACTGTCATAAGCAAAATTCGAATAAATGAGGTTATGTTTCATCAAAACAATTTAAATATTCGTTAATGTTTTGCCATAAAACGTTTAACAAATCGATAGAAAACCATGCAAAGAATGTCAGTTTATCAAGAATTAAATTAACTAAATAACTATTATCATTTTTAATTTTCACTAATTCTCATTCTATTCAATTTTTAGATGTCCAACATGGCAACTGTTGATTGGGACTAAATTTGAAAGCTTTCTCTTTTTCGTAAGCGAGTTTCAACGTGGCTGATTGTTTGTGCCAATTTGTTTGTTTAAATTATCTAAAGCAGTAGTGGTTTATATATATCGTTAAATATCGCATGTGTTTGTGCCATAAATATCAAGCAATTATTTGATTAATGTAACCATTTTTTGCTACTGGACATTTTTAGGACACGAAGGTTGTCATTTTGCAATGACGTTGCTACTCGTTATATTATTTGCTAATTTACTTTACTAACTGGCGCACTAGGACAATACCTAAACAAGTTGAAAAAAATCTCCAAGACTGATCACCTCACCTAAAATGTTGACTAACTTGTTGGCTTTTATGATTGATATCCCTCTTTTAATTATTGTTTTGATTGATGTTCTTAGATATGTTTTTGAGGAGTAAGTTTAAATATTTTAACGTATTCCTGACCTCTTAAATTTTTTGTTTATGGAGTTTCGATAATTATATTAATATACTAAATCTTGTTTTACTTATTGCTTTTTATAGTAACAATTAACATATTTGAATTTAACATTTAATATTTTTCACAGTTTACTTGCTATTTAATATACAAGTCAGTTTGGAAAGTTAAAACGTATTCACATAACCAAATCAATTAACATCCGTAAAATTCATTAAAAATTAAAAAAAAAACGTTACAATGCTTTGTGAATTAGGCTAAATATGTATTAGCAGTAAATTTATAGATTCCTGGCCTATGGTCTTATTGTGCCATCGCATTTGTCGCTTAGCTTTCCTGTTTGAATTACGTCGTCCGGCGATTTAATTTAATAAGCTACACAAAATACATCCGATTTGTAAATATCTGAATATAGTGAAGTATACCTTCGAAGTTCTTCCTGGCTGTGAGCCAAAGCCTGAGCTACCCTTTCGAGCCTTAAGTGTCGAGCGGTGAGAGGCGAAGCTCCTCCATCGTTTGAACAATCTCCAAGATGCATTTCGTCTGCTAGCATTTCGACTGACAAGTGGTCCAATTGGAGCTGTGACAATTCAACAAGTATTCATTAGGTGCAGTTTACCAGAGCGAAAACAAACAAAAAAATAAAGTCCGAATCATGCAATTCTGAAAATCAATAATTATGAGAAAATATAATTAAGAAACAAAATAAGAGCCCTAAAATATGATTGACTGATGTTTTAGATGATGTTAAAAACAAAAGAAATTTAGCATACTATGAGAGTTTAGATTTGAATTTGTGTATGTACAATAAAATGATTGCTTTAGATTCAATATATTTGTTTTAATATCAACAAAAAATCTTTTGGTTTTCACAAGAAACATGAACTATTTGTTTAAAGATTAGAAAATATAAACTCTTAAAAAACGATTTATATTGAATAATGAATGAGAAGTGAGTCAGTAATTTTCACCTGACCCTAATCCTAAATTTGGTCCTTCAAACGGATTTATGTTGAATATATTATGTGGAAAATTGATACTGCAAAACGTGTTTTTAAAAAACTTTTACACGGAAAAACATTACTTCAGCTAGCGGACTGTATTGTTATGTCTTCTTTATACAAGTACAAAAATAGAACTTAACAACGGGTAGAAATTATATAGGTTCATACCTATTAGAGAAGTAATAAATAAATAATGTTAATTTTTAACCTGTCAGGAGTAACTATTACAGTTCATTTTACCTTTTACTAAATGAAAAGTACATCAGAAGTTAATTTTTCAACAAAAACGGTAGTTTATTAAGTTTATAAATACCATAAAATGACCAAAAGTAAACGAATCACAGCATAGCGAAGAAAACAATGATAAATGGAATAATTAGTAAACGATCTGAATCAATTTAATATTGAAAAATAATGTTGATAAAAAAATGCAAGGAAATCATACCATATAGGAGAAAGAAACTGTCTCACCGTATGATACTTATGTAAATGATCTCTTTGCGGAGAATGATGTGATTTAGGTGTTGATCTACCGCTTACTGGTGGACTTTGACGTTCCAAACTTCTTCCTCTTGTTAAAAGGTTGACATGCTCCATGCTGCCCACTCGAGATTCAAGTTCCTCCGCTCTCGCTTCTGTATTCTGTTTTTCTTCTTGTATCAATCTGATCTCATTATTGATGGCATCTAACTGTTCCTGAAATGAAGGGATACATGTAATGAATGATCAACTGCTACCTTATGAGTACAAAAAAGTTGAAATAGGTATAAAATAATAAATTAGGTGTACTATAGAACAATTTAACTATATCTCATGAGCTAAAGATAATACCAGAAAAGTAAAAAAAACTTGTCTTTCTTTGCTTTCCATCAGTCTTGACCCATAAAACGAAATAGATATTAAAGAACAACCCACAACGGACAGTACTTGTTCAAATATACTATGTTAAAAAAATATTGCAAGATCATACCTGCAACATCATAGCAAGGGTTTGAGCATCAGTAGGTCCATCAGGCGATAAAATATCCTGTGTACTAAATATGCTTTCGGCATCATCTCCTTCGGCGTCGCTGGATACATCGAACGCTTGTTGAACGTTAGCTAAGACATGAGCCTGTTGAAGTTTTTCCCATTCGTGCTCGGTCATCGACCTGGAACCGAACGGTAACTTGGGATCCTCTTCAATAGGAGTTCTACTTTTGGTGGCTCTGCGCGGCAGGGAATGACTATCGAAACTGGAATGGCTGGCGCTTCTCGAGAAGCTACTTGGATCGACTGCATTGGGTGATAGTGACCTGTAATAAAAATAATTAGTAAAATGTTTATGTTATTACAACATTAAATGTGTACTCACCTAGTTAATGCATCTGTTTGTTGAATATTATAGGATATTTCTTGTTGTAACATTTGGCGCTTAACATTATCTATTTCTAATCTAGATTTAGCTAATTCTTTCATTATATCGGATTTTTGTCCATCCAAGTCTTCCAACATTTTTCTGGTCTTTTCTAATTCTTGAGTTAGGCCGTTTTTCTCTTGTAACGCATGCATACGTTCTTTGAGATGTTCTTGTAGCCTGTCGTTCGATTCTGATAACAATTTGTCTACGGTAGAAGAAAGTCGAGAATTATGATCCTCATTCATTTTAAGTCTTTGGTTAAGGCGGATTAATTCTGCATTCTTTTCATCGAGGTTCGCCTCCAATCGTTGGATACGATCTTCTGCGGATCCGTGTCTTTCTTGAGCCTACATTTTGATAAGATCATGAATAATAAACGAAAATACAGCTTCATTATGAAGTATTAGTCTAATTCACAAATCATCTTTAAATTTACCCACATAGAGAAACCTTAAAGATATAAGTTATTATATCCTCGCACGTTAACTCTCTAACATGGATGGATTTATTTCAGGTAGATTATGGTTTTTAACTTGGTTAACTTTACACCGTTTATTTTTAAGTAATTACCATGTATTCTCCCTAAAAACTTTTAAATTGTGGCTTAACACACGATTTAATTGCATTTTTAATTCATAACATAAGAGTTCAGTCCAGTCACTATGGTATTGTGAGATAACTACATTCAGAATTCAGTCTTTGGGCCTTTATTATTAATAAATACCTTTAAATATTAAAAAATGTAATTGTATATTGTATGTTAGTTGATAATTACAGGCCCTTGATTTTTTAGGCAGAATTCTAATTTTTCTGTAGGAAGAAAAATTATTCAACTTTTTTTAATGCATTTGTAAGATCGAAGACAGGCACTTTTTGGACAACCACAGGCTTATCTATGAACCTATAGAACACACCCTGTCACGGACTTGTACAAAAAAGATGTATTTATAGGTTTGTTCCAACAACGATCTTGGAACAATACATAAACCAGTCCAAAACTTATTGTTGACAATCTGTCGATGACTAGTAATTGACAACTTGTCAGGTACTGGTCGGGGATTGGGACTCAACTCGGAAGTCGATTATGTTGGAACACATTTTTTAAATTCAACAGACGCATTATTACAAAAATAAACCACAAAATAAAATAAATGATCATGAACAAAAACCATAAAGAATAAACTCTATTAACAAATACAAATCAGAACTGTCAGAGACAATAGTTACAAATAATATAATTACAATCACGATATGTTCAGTTTATTGCGGCTTTGCGCATGTCTTGACAATTCGTTCCTATTCAGACCCAGGAACTGATTTGACAGTACACAAATCGGTTTGTGATTAGTTTTGGTTGTGTTGGAACACTATGTATTTGTACAGTTTCGAGTCTAAGGTTTGTTGGAACACAAATTCTAGACTGCGCAGGATCCCGACAGTATGCAAACTGATTTGGTTTATGTTGGAACAAACCTAATGATTTAAGGAAAATATGATTGAAAAATTATGACATCTTTAAACTTTACTATTTCTCTTAGTTGACGTTTCTATTATTAAGGATTTACAGGTCGGTAATTATTTAAAGTTGCTTTGTGAATTAGGTTAGGTTATAACTGACATAGAAATCTAGACAACCACTAAAAATGATTAAATGATTAAAATTACAATAAACAAATGTGTCAAGTTGGCACCATATGAGAAACTTCTTATTATTAGTTTTACGCAATAGTTATTCTTCATAAAAAGTTTTAAAACCTAAAAATCAAATATCAGTTTTTTTTATGCAGGAGTAAAGTTCTTTTTTTTAACAATATCGAAAATGGTTATTAAGAAAAGTTGATTAGAATTGAAAATTATGGTCAGATATTCAATATTAGCCATCTATGAAAAAACGACCTTTAATGCTTTTTGGCATAAATAAGAATTATAAATTTAATTTTGCAAATCATAAAACTTCATGGTATATGAGATAATATTGAAAATCTAACGTAGTTTTTAATTCTGATCAACTTTTCTTAACAATTTTCATTGTTGTTAAAAATAAAGGTACTTTACTCTTGCATAAAATTTATATTATATTGTAATGAAAAAATTGATAGGTATCTAATGATTGTTTTTTTTTTTTTTTATTATTATAAAACTAATAATAAACTTTCCCACATGGTGCCGACTTAAGTAAACACCATTTTCTCTAAGATGAGAGAGTAATAAAATCTTATTATAGATATGTATGTAAACTACAGTACGAACAGAAAAAATTTAAGCATAAAGCCTCGTACCTGTGGTCTCACCTGAGTCAGCGCTTCCATGCGTTGCTTCAGTTGTTCTTCGATTTCCGGTAATTTCGAATATTGAGCTAGCTTTTGTTCTGCGAGTTCCAGTTTTTCTTGAATAGCTGCTATTTTTTCTTCATGCAACTGAAATAAATTTGTTAAAATTATTATTTAGCAAGACTTTTCGTCCTTCAAATGTAATTTCTTTTTAACAAATAAATTAATTAAAATAAATCGTTTACCTTAATTTGAGCTTCTTTGTGTTGCAATTCTTGCTCTAATTTTTCATTCAAATCGTGCAGTGATGTTGATTCTCGTTGAGCGTTCAGGTAACGTTTTTCGAGCGTAGCTATTCTCTCTTCTTGATCTTCTTTCTGCGCTACATTTTCTCTAAGATCCCTTTGCAATTTCGAATTGGTGTCTTGTGCTTTCAGCAATTCTTTTTGTGCTTTCGCCAAATTTTCTTCTAATTCGGCGACGCGGTTCTGCGTCTCGGCCACTCTACGTTGCCAATTGCTTATTTCACCGGTCTGTGCAGACAAATATTCAAACAATCATGATAAGTTATGTAGAATGAAAAATATAAAAAATTGGTAAAGAATTTTATAGTAATTTACATTTACAAATAACGTAACCCTTTTTCAACCTATTATCACTCGTATTTATTAAAATATAGCTTTCAGTATGTCTCCTATAAACATCAATCAAACAATACACTTTATTAGTGATGACGTAATTTGTATTCCAATGACAAATGACAGTAGATTTATTTCTATTATTTTCTAGCTGAATAGTTTTTATTTAAACATTAAAAATAATTTGATTTAAATTACTTTTTTAAGACTTGCAAACAATATTTAAAAAACTAAAATGTCAATTTCAATGTCACAATGGTTTGTTTTTCTTAAAAATTAACTGTCATTGAAACACAGATTATTAAGTCCCGTCCCGAGTTCAACACGGCTCAATTTTGGAATCCGTGTTATTTCATATAACTGATATTAAAAGACATTTCATTGAAAAGGATGTAAGAAATAAATAACCATGTTATATGCAGAAATCAGTACATCGCGATTATAGAAAACTTAATTAAATATTAACTTACTTGTTGTTCGAGTGCCACCTGAAGGTCGGCAATTCTGGCTGCGGCTTCAGTATCTGACTCCACATTACCATTAGCAAGACGTGACTTCTGTGCTGCCTGTGTACCCACAACATGCTGTTTGTAAATATGTATTATAAAAATAAGCGGTAATGTTTTTATAATTGAAAAATTCGCCACATAAGAGACAATACGTACAGGATGTTTTTGAAATACATGTACATTAAAACGGGTATTTGATATCCAAAAATAAACGTCAATAATTTTAAAATGTAAATATTATGAATATTTCCGATCATTATTCTACGGCGCGAAATATCGCAAAGAGCCGTAAACGCGAATATAGATGACTTTTACTCCTAATCACGTATTCCACGCCTGATTCAAAGGGTTCGTGGCAGAGAAATGAAAAAAATATAATCAAATGCACCCACTATAATCATACAAGTAATAAATAGTACGCATTTTAAGTAAGAGTACTTCCTGGAGATACAAATTAGTACTTCAATTTCTAAAACCATCTTCGACAAGAGCCTGAAAACGACTGTGAACAATGTGAATGTGGAGATAGCGTTCTGTACCGCGACATTCAATGCCACTCACGGGGAAAATTCTCACCGTGACTTTACAGTAAAGCATAGAGAATGCTTTATAGGAATTTACCCGGTAATATTTTGCATAAACACAGTAACGCTGGTACTGGACCTGAAATTAAATTAAACTTACCTCAAACTAACTGTATCTAAAGAAATATAAAAAAAAAAAATAAAATTAACTCTGCCTTTGATAATACCTCTTTCTAAGGAAATTAACAATCTTAAAAATCAAATTCAAAAGGCTTTAACAACATTGTCAATAACAGACCCACTAGGCAGCTGTTGGCATTAAACTACACTTTACAATGACTTAAATTAATCTTTTCTAATTAACGTACCTCAACATGGCAGTGGTGTACATCCATTTTAAGTCGATTTTAACCTTTATTAACAGATTTTTTTAAAATAATATTTTTATGCACTATAGGAAAGTCAAACATTAACCAGTTTTAATATGTACATTCAAAAACGCCCTGTATATTTGTTTAGCCGCGTACAGTCATAATACAATATTCACAAATTACACATAACTTTACACCAAATATATGATTTAATCTGATTATTTGACTTAATTAGTTTAGAAATTAAACAATTTTCTCGAATAAATCATTGATAAAAATAGAATACCACAAACATATTTTTAAGAAAAGAACATACTTAGGAATGTGTTAAATTTTGATGTAGTTGACTCATTTTTCACGGTTCAAGAAATAGCTTAAAGAAAAGAATGTGATCTTAAACAATGAAGTTATTTACAGGAAGAGAGAAAAATCAAAGATCAAGTTATCTTTTAAAAAATAAAATACAAATAATGGAAAAATTGGAAAAATTCACGTATGTCGAAGCGTACAATTCTTCTTTTTAAGTGTCAGTTTGTATTTAATTTAAAGGCGTACGTAGTTATCATAGACATGCCTCCAATTTCTGTCTTTGACAATGTCTGACAAAGGTAGATATGTAAGTCACTAGGAACGCTTCCTGATTAAATCCAAACTGTCATTAAAATAAGAAGAATTGTAGACCCGACATACTTTCCATAGTCTATTTTATCACTCCATAGAACAATTGAGAAACATAATAACGCAATTTGGACGAGAAAATTATTTAAACAATAAACTTAATCAGTTTGAAATAATGTAATAAATAGTAGGTACTATGTAGCTGAGCGAAAAAGAAAGACTCGTCATTGTTGTATTTTAAGAAAGAGAGAATACAAATTACATGCAGAGAAGATAAGTATTAAATGTAGTAAGATTAAGATATTGGTTTTCGGTAAATATACAGTTAAAAATTTAGAATTATTGAATAGAAGAGGTTACAAAAAACACAAAAAAAAAAATAGTGATCTGTTCAATAATAATTTCAGTCTGGAACAAACTTATGTTTTTTAAACGAATCACCCTGTATTTTATTGTATATTTTATATTTGAATTATCCTCGCTTTTCCTATACCAAATAGTATGGGATACTTAGGAAATGCTTAAAAATGTGAGTCGGACCTTTAAAAACTGTCTCTAAGCCTGCATAAATATTAAGAGAAAACGTTTCGGGCAACTTTTCTAATGGAATATAATCTGCAAAAATAAAATTTAACAAACTTAAAATAAAGTATGAAATATATGGAATTTGTGGTTGCTATTTTTATTAAATTATTTTTTACTGTAAATTCCACATTAGGTATTGTCAGAAATTTATTCAGTCGATAATAAATTTCAGCTGGTTAAATTATAACTAATTAACAAACACGGTGTATTTTTTTTTATTAGCCAGTGACAAATTAAAATAAAATTATTTTTTGTCATTTAAATTAGAAAATCTCGCAAAACTATTAACTTAAGGTATTTATAGGAAATGCTTAATTCAAATGAAAGTATAATATTACAATACTTTTGAATCGTGAACTAAAATACAGTGGTTCATTTTAAAAAATGTATCGAGTTTTGATTCGCTTTCTACATATTTGTTACGAATATTAAAATTTTAACATCGAAAAAATGTTACCACAAAAAATTGGTTCTTTTGCAGTATACAGATCATTAAAATCAAAACGATTTTCTTATAAAACTGGTTATATCTTGTGAAATACCCTCTATAATTCCATACTATTTGATAAAATAAAATATAAGGTGATCCAATTAAAAAACAAGTTTGTTCCATACTAGAGTTATTGAAAACCCTGTATATTCGAAAATAATTTTAAAATATAAAGTTTAATGCTGCTCTGAATTTGCAAAATACTTACTGGATATTATACAAAAAGATTTTAACAAAAGTGGACAAACACAACTCAAAATATATCACCCTGACAATCAGAAGCTAATCGACATTATTAAACATGCTACATTGATAAGTTAAAGTCCTACCTTTCTTCTCAGCAAATTCTACTTTGATTGGATAATACCAATTTTATTTACCATGAAATAGAAACTATTTCTGGGACATTGTATCATAATATACAGTGTGCGGTATAAGTAACGAATAAATTCATTTTTAAGAAGAAAAAAAAAAAGACACATCCCCTAATGTTTTTAAAACAAAACCAGAAGGTGGGACTTGAGCACAATATATCCCCTATAGTAATGTTACTGGGATTCAAGAAATGGCTTTGAGTTACGCTGCGGCCAGACACAGGCCTCATGGCGTTAGGATCGTTTTGAATTTTGACACGTCCAACATCGGCACGTTCATTGGTTGAAAAGGAAGTTTCTGACAAGCGAAGCATGAAGTGTCAGTATTGACAAGTGATAATTTTTTGATTTTTTCTTCTAAGAAATTTATAATATTAATTTTGTTTCAGCGATATTTATTGTGATTTGTATTGTTGTATTAAGTGCTTACTTATTTAATATGGGAAACAAAACGTACAACAAACTCAGAAAAAGAGGAATCAAGAAGGGGTTGCTATGGCTGTCATCCAAGGGTCTCCGCCCTAGATAATACTTTTCCAGTGGGAAAAGCCTTTAAAATTCAAGTATAATTTTATGTTTCCGTTTTCCCTTCTTTTAATGTAGGTGCCAATTTTGAGGTAAGTTTGTAATAATTTTTCATATTTTTTTCAGTTAATACCTACCCTCTTAATATTATAATTTAACTAAGATCTTATGCTTTCCTATGGACACGATTCAAGGCTGTCATCCAAGCCCTAGATAATAGTTTTCCAGTGGCAACAGCCTTTAAAATTCAAGTATAATAATTTACTGTTTCAGTTTTTGTCCTTTTTCGAAGTAGGTGTCCATTTAAACTAAACTTTTTTATTTTACTTATTGATTTTAGCTTTTGTATACAGTATCGGCTAATGAACACTTTCCAATACGCTTGGTTAGCATCGAAGAGATAACTAAGTTAGGTTAGGTTAGTGGCATCAGGAAACGAATAATATGAATGTTGCCTTGTGTGCTGTGTAATATGAACAGGCACACGGTGCGATGCATCCCCGCGTAGCCCTTCTGGCTACGTTCATAGTATTCTATTCCTTCTCCCACTAATGCTAACTCTTTATAGTTTTTACTTGGACATTAGCAAAACGTATTGTACAACATTCGATAGCTGTCACTGTATTATCATAAACATCTCTTAATAACTAAATGATTTCATTTAATAGTTTCTTTTTTTTTTTTTTCAGTAAAATGGATATGGCTAGAGTTATACTCGACTTTAAAATAAATTAAATAAGTTTTATAATTTTTCAAATAAAATACTTTATACAATTTTTTGTTTTTTTTACCAGAGCCAATTTTTTTTAGATCTAACCTCTATGGGTAAAAAATAAGTGATTCAGGTAAAATTGAAAAGTATATTACATGTTCTTTTAAATGCTGCTCTTATTGTAATAGCTAACAATAAAATAATTAGTATTATTTTTAGCTATCAAAATAAAAATAGCGCCTGGATTTACAGCTCGTTTAATCGAACATGCAATATACTTCTCAATTATTGCGGAATAAATATATTTAAAAATTCCCGCCATTCCGCTGCTGGAAATTTACGATTTTGGCGGGAAATTTAAATTTCGCCTTAAAATTATATTTGAGTTTACCGCCATATCGAGTTAGTTGAGCGGCGAGACACATACGCATTTTTGCGCTGCAAAATTAGTGCCAACTCTTTAACAAGTGAGATGCACTACTACAGGGGATATATTGTGGGCTTGAGATACCTCCTTTGAAAGAGATTTTAATTCTTTATTTATCAGTACAGTAAACATACTTTGTTTTATTAGATAGATAGAGTAGAAATTCTTCTAAGAGTGTTGGTAAGAAGTAAAATAATTGTTACGACAGACATACGAATAAAACAATTCGTTACTTTTGCCATTGACTGTATATATTCATTTGATTAACACATCACATTATTTACAAAAACCTTTTTAAATAACAACCTAATTTTTATTTCATTTTTGGATCATAAAAACTAAAATTAGTTAACAAGGACCGGACTAGGAGAAAAGGGCTCAAATTTCAAATACAGAAATAAAAGAAAATATGAAATTTTGAAATACAAATTAAGACTTTCTCGATCTGATTTGTAATTTTTTAGTAATCTGAGTAGAATACTATTTTCAAAGTTCTACCAGCCTCAAAATATGAGTTTCCTAATGTAATAATGTAAATTGATAATTAAGGTTGGCTAGATTAATATTAATATATTATAGAAATTACCTTATTATTTATGGTTATCATTTGGTCCCCTACTTCGAGTTGCCCATTTTCTTTGGGTTTTTCTTCATTGCTAGATGCACTTGTCGGTACACCTCCTTGTTTGAATTGTTGTAACTTAAAGAAAATAAATCATTTTTAAATTCTAAATTAAAAAAGTTTAATTAGAAACAAAATCCAAACTTTTTAAACAAGCAGCAAAAGGTCAAATATTTCAAGAAATTAATGTAAACTGACCTCTTCTTTGGTTGATGCTAATTCCTCTTCTAAAGTAGAATTTCTTTCTAAAGCTACCCTCAGTCTTTCTCGAACCTTTAAATATAATTTATTAACGTTGAAAATAACCATGAAACACTCATTTTACCTTCTCGTCTAATGCTTTGTGATGCTCAAATAAACTTTTGAGTGCTTTGAGAACTTCAACTTCGCTTGAAACCCCTGATTGGGCGGCTGCCTGTCGCTTGACGACCGTCATCCTCAAAGATCTTTCGTGCCTCGATACAAGACATTCCAAATGTTCCAATAATAGCTATTAATTTAAAAATATTTTTTTAATATATAATATTTTCCTATGGATAATGATTGGATTCTAAGAATAATAAGATTAAAATATGTGGTTGCTTATAATATAAACCCATGTACTATTTATTTTATTACTTACCCTAGTATTATTCCTTTCTGCTTTAAGTTCGGATATTTCTTCTTCTCTTTCAAGAAGGTGTTCTCTAGCTGCATTTAATTCTTTGGTAAGTGTAGCAAATTCCTGGAAAATTAATTGATTTATATACAGTGTGTCTACTTAAGTTGGAACTACATGGAAAAAATTTATTATTGGTTTTGTAAAAAATTTATTTTTGATAAAAAGTTCTGCATAGTCCAAAACTTAAAATGCAACCATCAGATATCAATTTTTCTAAGCCAAAATATAATTTTTGCTGAAGAGTAAAGAACCTACTTTTATTTTTGACATAAAATTTGATATCCCATGGTTGTTTTAGGTTTTAGACCAGGCTGGACTTTTTATGAAGAATAACTTTTTTTCCTAATATTAATGTGGCATATGAAAAAAATAAATAAATAATTTAAATTAAAACAAAGATTTAATTAAATGGCAAGATAAATAATTTTATTAAAAGAATAAAAAAAGTAAGATCATCAAAAGATAGAAAACCAAAAAATTTACAAAAATTCTGGTTAAAATAAACTATTAAATATAAACATATTATGTCAGTCCAAAATTGTGGTCCAATTCTTTTTTAAAACTGTTTATTAATGATAGAGCCCATACTAACTTTTTACAGAGTATTTTAAGCTATTCGAATCTATTAATACATATTTTGATATGACTGCGAATTGTAACCAGACCTTAACTCCCTTAATATCTAGTACAAACTAAACAAAATGATCTAAATATTAATATATGCTTCTGTATATTTTTTAGCAAAATTTTATCACCCATCATACATCACTATCAAATTAACAATGATAGTGTATCAAGAGTTGATACCATTAAAGATCTATTTGTCATGATTTATAGTAATTTGTCTTTTCAAGCACACATAGATATGATAACCGCAAAGGCATCAATATTATGCTTCATTTGTAGATCTTCCACAGATTTTTCTGTTTATATGTTTAAAACAAGGTACTGTTCTCTAGTAAGATCACAATCAGAGTGCTGTTATTATAATGCTCATAAATATCAAATTGAGGCTATTCAAAATAAATACTTGAGAACATGCACCTACAAAATGGGTTATATAAGAGGAGATTACTCATATTCCATACCTAATTAATTATCAATTAAACTTGAAATCACTTGATAATAGAACAATTTCTGATATAATATTTATAAACAAATTGTCCTCAATTAGTAAGTCTTATTAAATTTGATACCTTTGATAGAACTAGACAAGTTGACTTATTAAATATACCACTAATTATGCTTTTAATTCGCCAGTAAGTCAAATGTTACATACATGTAAAAATTTTTGGACATATTAATGCTCTCAGAACATATTTAAATAATAGTTAAATTTAACATTTTATTTCTTTATTTTTTAATTGGTTTTTATTATTGTTATTTGATGCAGTTTTACCTATTATATTATATTATTATATTATTATATTATATTACCTACATCTTTAGTATAGTTTAATATTTGTTTTGTCTGCTATTATTTTACTTATAAATTAAATAATTAAAAAACATTATTTTGCAAAAATGAACATATGGGTGCAAAAGCAAGTTGAAGAGTACATAAATTGTACTCCGATTGATGGATAATTACTGACTGATAATGTGGAAAGTACTGAAAAACACCTGATCTTTCAAACATATGTGTAGGGAAGTGTTGAAAAAATTGAAAACCTCATTACAAATGTCTTAATTAATAAATATTATAAATAGGTGCAAGTTTAGCTACAAGCTATTCTTACACTCTATCTAAAGTACAATATAGAAAGAAGCATAATTATATAATAAAATAAAATAGATGGCTTGTGGACTGCCTGTTTCTTTTTAATTAAGCTCAAAATAAAGATAAATCATTTTTAGGTACGTCCGAGTTTAATCAAATGTTTATGCTGGTATTAATTTTCCAAAAACTGCATATATGAGGGTCACTTGGAGGGCCATTAGCATTTTCAATATCCAAGTAATTTTTATAGGGTTTACCTAAAGATAACTTAGAAATCTGATGTAGATTTTAATAAGGATACCCAGGAATACCCAAGGTTTCCAAACAATCTTGAGAATACATAAGAATCCCCAAATGATACATACGTAAGAGGGATACACAATGTATTTACCCTTTGTTAAATGCCCCAAGAAAAATGTATCAGGTACTTCATTGTTTGTAATTTGTAACACTATTCTTTCATTTGAATTTGATATGACAATTGGCAAAAATAAAAAGAAATGTTTTAAATGCTAAAAGTATTAACAATTTCTCTTTTGAAAGCAATTTATAATAGTTGTAACAGATATTTCTTGTGCTACATAATGTAATTACTTATAATTCTAGGTAAGTACCTCAGTAAGTACCTATACTATTTATTCATGTATTGTTTTGTAATGGAACATTTTTTTTATCAAAGTAGGTATTTTTTTGACAATGCATTAATAACAATTTGTTTAAACATTTTTTTTATTTCAACCTTATTGAAAAGTCATTATGAAATGACTTCTTAAATATATTGAAAAGTGAAAATATACAAGTAAAAGCAAAAGCTTCCAATACATAATTCTAGAAAATATAAATAAGAAATGAAAAGTGTTGTGTGTAATGATATGGTAAGATCAATTTTGATGTCAACACCCCACCTGAATAAAAAGTGAAGATGCCATAAATGTAATTTGTTAATTTTAAAATGTTTGGCAAAATGTTCTAATGATACAATTAGAAGTAAATATTTGCAAAAAGTATCGATAAAATATGAAAATTAAGAATAGAAGAGGAATATGAGGATAAGGTAAATTGCCAATCAATCAATCTTACCTGTGGAAGATTCGCCGCAATTTGTCTTTGTAGCGAATCCCTCTCTTTCTCAGTGTCCTGTAGTTTAATTTCAGTCTCTCCTAAACGTTCTTGTGTTTCTCTTAAACTGTCCATTAACTTATCCCTTTCGTCCAACATAGACACCATGAGCTGTTCAAAATTTGCATCTTCGCCAGAGAATTGAGAACTCCTCTGGCTGATACTGTCTTCTGATATTGTTGGCATCACATCACACATCATGTTCCACATGTTTATTTATTTATAATTTACTTTATCACCAATATTAATTAATAACAAATATTTTTTCTAACCCCCTTATATGTTTGAACACTTTTATTAACTAATTTTAACGCGGCGACACTCGAATTCGAGTTACAATGTCCGATGATAACATAATCCCGTTTAAACTTCTTCATAATATTACTTTCCCGGTAGCACAAAAGACACACCTATAAAATAAATCTCATCTTATCATTTCTGAATTACATACATAAACCCATCGCATAGCCATTTTAATTTTAAAGCCAATTGTCAATTTGTTAAACAAAATTAGCTTTTCGAATGACATATAAATAGGTACCTGTAAATTAAATTTCAACATTAAAAAAGATTTCTGCAATTCTACTACCGCTTGCAGAAATTGTAAGCAGATGTCACTACAGCAAATTGTGATTTCGATAATAACTATTCGAGATGTTATCTGTATGTTAAAAACGAAAGTAGGTATTTTTCGTGGCACAAACTAACATGAACGTTTATGCCGCGAAAATTACCTTGATGTTTATGATGTTAGAATCATTTTTACTTCCCTCGGAATTATTAAAATCGTGAAAAAGTCAGCCTTCGAGATTATTTCAAATTTTCACATTTCAGGGTCCCTAAATTACGAAAAACTTGTTTCCCCATTCCGTCGGCCTGTCTGTCGGCGTCTGTCGTCTGGAGCCTACTCGTCTGTCTGTTGTCGCGATAGCTCAATAGCTCAAGAACGACTTTAGAGAAAAACTACAAATTTTGTATACAGATAAGATTCCTTTATTATCTCCTTTATTTCTAAAAACCTTATATTTCTTGTCAGTTATATACAGGGTGAGCAGTTTAAAAAAATATTTTTAAAAGTTGGTAGATTTAAACTAAAATTGATGTCTTAGAATTTTAGAAGTAACTAAGTTTTTACAAATTCAAAATGGTATTGAAAGGAATCGTATTTAATTAAAAATATATATCTCCCTTAAATAGAAATAATAACAAGCGTCCTTTTGATTTGTGTAACTGGACCAGTTTAAAAGCAGCCAATCATTATCGTTCAATAAGGTTCCTCTTGATCAGACGCATTTCGCGTTTGCTCGGTGTTCGTCGTCACGTTCTCTGTTTTATTTATAATCGAGGGTAGTTCTGGGTAACAACATACTTTACCGATTTTTTTGCTTTTTGCCTCTGCTTTGTCACTGATTTGTGGAACGGATGTGTAGTAATATCTATAGGTAAATAGGCTATAATTATACGGAGCAGTGGGTTATTATCTATCGTTTCTCGGTGATTTTTTAATGAACATGCGGAATTGCGGAGAAATTTTAAGATGCTTCTTAATCTTCTTATATGTTACTTCTTGTCACTTCTTATATGTTACCTTATTGAGATTAGGCAATAAAAATTCCCGCTTTTGTATTCATATTTCACACAGAGATACGTTTTGGCCTTATAAATAGGCTTTGACAATTAAACCTAACAAACAGAAACAAAATCGTAAGTCACGTGGTACAGTTACGAGGAATATTTACAAGTTACAAATGGGGTTTATATGTGATGGGATTTTAAAGGTGTATAAATCACTAGTAGATGTCATACATATCCATTTGCGATTTCTACATTTGATTTGTCCGCATTCTAGCTCAACTCTGGCATCAATTCGGATAATTATTTTCAGTACGCACTATCAGAACGAAAATAGCTAAAAATTTGGATTTATTATAGTATTTTTGCATATTTGTACTGAATATTCCGTTAATATGTAACTGAATATATACAAAGTACAGATAAATGGTTAACGGATAAACGATAAACAGGACAATTCATATTTCTTGCTCTACAATAGGTTAACGAGACAGGAGTGTAGTTAAAACTCAGCATTTTTAACTCCAACCATGCCGTTTGCGTTTCCTTTTTCCGATAAGTGGTGTGTGATGATACCGTTGTTTGAGATTTGTAACACAATTCCACTCCTGTCCCGCATCATACCTTTTCATACTCTGGTTTAAATAGCCGAACTCGACTACAGCTTGCCAAAGGTTTCGTTTGAACGGTTTGACGTAACAAATGGGAAGAGGGGTGCGGAGTGAGAGGTGAGGGAAAATTTGCTAAGTCGAAGCCGCCATTTTATAAGAGTTTTCAAGTAAAATCGTAAATACAGTTGTTTTCGTTTAGTAGTTAAAGTACTGACATTTTAGTGTAAAAGTAGTGTGCGTAAATCAATAATTATTAAACTAAAACTGAATATAATAAAATGAGTATGAAAAAGGTGTGTTGACATCAGAGAGTTAGTGACATTTGTGTCCTTCCCTTTTGCTACCGAGAAATACACTTGGTGCTTTAGGCGGAGTGTACTATTAAAGTCGGAGCCCTGGAAGGTTTAAAAGTACAAACCATGGGCAACAATGCCGCTACGGCGAACAAAAAAGTAGATTCCGCGGAAAGTGTTAAAGAATTCCTGGATCAAGCCAAAGAGGATTTTGAAGAGAAATGGAAGAGAAATCCTACTAACACTGCAAGCCTAGATGACTTTGAACGGATCAAAACGCTCGGTACGGGGTCATTTGGCAGAGTCATGATAGTCCAGCACAAACCCACAAAAGAATATTATGCAATGAAAATTTTAGATAAACAAAAAGTTGTTAAGTTGAAACAAGTGGAGCATACTTTAAATGAAAAGCGAATTCTGCAAGCCATCAGTTTTCCATTTCTCGTGAGTCTAAAGTTCCATTTTAAAGACAATTCAAATCTATACATGGTGCTTGAATATGTGCCTGGAGGAGAAATGTTTTCACACCTGCGAAAAGTTGGTAGATTTTCTGAACCACATTCTCGTTTCTATGCAGCTCAAATAGTTTTGGCTTTTGAATATCTTCATTACTTAGATCTGATTTATAGAGATCTGAAACCTGAGAATTTGTTGATCGATTCACAGGGATACCTAAAAGTTACTGATTTTGGTTTTGCTAAAAGAGTTAAGGGGCGTACTTGGACTCTTTGTGGAACACCAGAATATCTTGCTCCTGAAATAATTCTCAGTAAGGGGTACAATAAAGCTGTAGATTGGTGGGCTTTGGGTGTTCTAGTTTATGAGATGGCAGCTGGATACCCACCGTTCTTTGCTGATCAACCCATACAGATTTATGAAAAAATTGTTTCTGGAAAAGTACGCTTCCCATCACATTTTGGTTCTGATTTGAAAGATCTGCTACGCAATTTACTTCAAGTTGATTTAACTAAGAGATATGGTAACTTGAAAGCTGGAGTTAATGATATTAAAGGTCACAAATGGTTTGCTTCAACTGATTGGATTTCAACATTTCAAAAGAAAATTGAAGCTCCTTTTATACCTAGATGCAAAGGACCTGGAGATACCAGCAATTTTGATGATTATGAGGAAGAAGCCCTCCGTATATCATCTACTGAAAAGTGCGCCAAGGAATTTGCGGAATTTTAAGAGATTTTTTGGATCATACCTATATAATTTATGTAAGTAGCCTTGCCACTGTCTCAGGCTAGTGACAGACTGCTGCCCGGGGCTCTTCCATTAACTGGTTTTGTGCTTGCTTGATTGATCCTCTGTACTTCTTATAGCACTTTGATACCAAGGATTTAAGGATTTAACTCGTTTGATATTGTAAAGTGTGTCAAATTGTTAGGGTTAAACTTTGTTAGAAGCTCTATATTTATTGATTGGAGTGTATATTGTATTATTTTAATTAGTTATTGTAAATATTGTATCATAGTTCTTTAAAATGCACTATTTACATTAAATAGTGTGCAAAACATTCATTTTCATATCAGTGCAGAGGATTTCAATCAATAATATGAAAGTAAGGCATTACCTTAGAATCAGAGAAAACAGTAATATTAATACAGTAGTTAATTACTATGTGGCTGCCTCCAAGTGTTTTTTCTTATACTTTTAATGATGGATGCATTATTTTTTAAAATTAATCTCAGTATTTATCTTTTATTTATTCTATATACATAAGTATTTTTTAAATTAATAGTCCAATCATTATGTATATTTTTGCTGTGAACTGTAAGCAATTTTTAATTTAAAAATAAAATATTCAATTGAAATAAAAAATTCTACAAATCCTGATTTTTCGTATGTAATGATTGGACTATAAGTCAATTTAGAAAAATGAGTCGATAACAGATATATTACCCTCTGATTTAGTTAACATGTTGGTTGTGGCCTCATACAATACTAAATAAGATTCTCTAGGTTGAAGGGGTTTGCACTAGATGCCTGCCAATGTTTTGAGTACAATTCTGATTTTTTTAGTTTATTCATATTAAGTTGACCATTTAATATGCTGCAAACAATTTATTATTTCATTGATATGACATCACTACAATTTTCATATATTTTTTTAAAGAAATAAAATTAGAATTGTACCAAACTAGTCTATTCATTTGCTAAATGCTTAGTATTTGAATATTTTTGTAACTATCAAAATGTAGGAGTTTTACATTTTTTCTTACTAATTTATGTATTTGTTTTAATTTTATATATTTGTTGTCATCTTATGATAGATTTATTACATCAAATATTTCTTGCATTATAAAACACCTTCAATAAGTCCAGTAATTTTTTAACCTGGTTTGCCACCTCACACTGCAGGTAACTATCAGTGCTACATTGCCAGGTAGTATTTTTTTTTATCTGAATCTAAATAGATTTTTCAATTTTTAGTAATTCCAGATTTTAAAAAAATAAGCTTTGTAGAAAAAACAATATTTGAAATAAGTATATTATATTTTTTTGAATAAAGATGGCGCTACAGACTCTTCTTTTCAATATTTATTTATATATTAAAATGAAACGTTTTTATATCAAAAATTGGACTTCATTGCACCATTCTCTATGATCCCATAAATATGCATGCTAAATTTCATACAAAAATGTTAAAAAATAAGCAATTACTTTTACTCCATATTAATAGAGGACAACAAAATAAATTATAGTTACAATTGTTACAAAATGAACTTGTGAGACCGAAAATACAGGGAGTAATTGAAATATATCGACCAGATATGAATAATGTCTAAACACCACCAACTTTACCAGTAAATTCGAAAATGTAACTGTCTTTTTCTACCTCATAACTGAAAATTGGCATGACTCGAATTGAGTTAAATTGGAAAACATCAATTAAAAGCCAATATTCAAAATGTTATTAAATACTCCTCAACTTCAAGACAGTTTAAAGATTAACCTATTTCAATTACACTCTAAATATGTTTCTTAAATTTTAATTAAACGAAAAATCCAGTCAAATAATGACCCAATAGACAACTGGTTTTGCTTTTTGATTGTTAAAATAAAATTTATTTGTATGGATTTTTCAAACTTACTCCTTGCCTGTCTTATGCCATATGGCATGATTTTGTTGAAAGCTTGTATAAGGCTTTTCATGATGAGATTTAATAAGAATTAATTGTGTTTGCTGTCTAATTAAAGCTCATTTTAAAGCCTTACAAGTTAGGTTATCCTGTAGGATACATATAGACTTAATTGTTAAATTTTGTTAACTTTTTCTCATCATGGTGAGTTTATTTTATGCCCAGGTACATACAGTTTATTGAAGTCTAAAGGATCGAATATTAGAATGCAGCAAAACTGTTTTAATTAGTATGATGTCGTAAATGAAAAATGTCAATAAATGTTTTTATTTTTATGTTAGGCTTTGGATTAAAAAGATAACTACTTAAGCTATTTTAAATTGTTTATATCAAATTTAATCCCACTTACTGGCATTTTATAATCCTGTTGTGATGAGAAATATAAAAATTATTAAATACTTGTAAGGTAACATCACAATTTTATTGCAATACGGTATGCCTTAGTTTCACATAATTTCTTTAGATGTTAACTATGTTATATATGTAGTAGTCTGTCAGTGTTTTGGTTAATTATTAATTAATTATGTACATGATCTGATTTTATTTTAGACGTTTTGTCTTTAAAACCTTTAAAAGTAGCGATTGAACCGAATTTGTTTAATAAAGTAGGTTATCAGTGTGTAAGAATAAAATTATATATTAATATATTATTTAGGTACATCGTCAACAAATTTTCTTGTTAATTGGTTATGTAAATGTTATTAGATTACTAGTCTAAAGAATTTTAATTTTATGATATGTCTGCAGTAGCTCCTTTTAACTATATACAGATAAATCAAGCTTTAAATTTGTAGCCTTAATGTGATACATTGAAATATATACTTAGCTTTATACAGGTATTTGTATTATTTTTTATATAACTTTTTTCATGTCTAATGAGGGTTTGTAATACCTCTTAGGTATTCTATTCTCTGCTGTTCATTCCTAGGTACTCTCAAGAACTGTCTGGGTATTCTTTGGAAATTCCCAGGAATCCTTAGAACTTCTTTTGGTATTCTTAGGGTAATTATCTTATTTTTTATGGTTAGTCATTACAATGTAAATTAGAATTCTCATTAATTTTTCAGTGTCTATATTATTGTGTTAAGTTTTTTTAGGGAAAATATAAAGAACAAAATTATCTTAGCCCTTAAGTAGAAATTAAAAAAAGGACCCCTAAGAGGGGTAGATATTACACTTAGAATCTTAAATGGGAGAGTCAAGTAACACATCATTTGAAAGTTAATTTTAAGGAGCATTTTATTAAAAATACTATAATTTAAAAATAGGTATAAATAGGTAAAAATAAATTATCCTAAAACCAAAACTAACAATCACAAAAAAATTCGATCATCACTGTCTATTTCATCCTTGTCAAAATGAAAGTTTACAGATTTTGTGATTCTTGTCAGATTTAGTTTTTAGAATTAAGAGTAGTTGATTTGAATATTAAGAAAGTATAAATACCCAGAAATGTTTTGCAATTAAAACTAATTTATTATTAAATACAGGGTGATTCATAACTATTGGGACATAGGCTAAGGGTAGGTTATTTGGACCAAAATATGGCGATAGCGCCAAATACCTTAATAAAATATTAGTGTGGAATAGAGTTAAATAATAAACTATAATCTCACAGCAAAAATAATTCACTGACAAGAAATGACATGTACTAGACACAATTATCTGACACTGCAAAGCACACTTCATAAATGAAATAATATTTTTTTAAATCGCCATCTGAGTCTTTTGAACTGTTTAATTGCGTTTTTCTCGAAAAAGGGTAAAATTATCGTGTAAACAGAAGTACCAATATTACGTAGAAATGTTTATATCATGCATATTTTCTAATAAACACTAAAAAGTATCGTCAAAAAAGCTACCACTTAATTTCATCATTAGGAATCATTCACGTGGTGCCCCCTGTAACAAAATGTGAAATAATACATAAAATAATAGTACTTGTCCAAAGATATGCCTCTGCCGATTTTGATATTAATTCATAAATATACAAAAACGAAAAAAAGTCAACTTGAACGCCCTGTATCTTATTCCACAGCAATATTTTATTAAGGTATATTTGATCCTATCGCCATATTTTGGTCCAAATAACCTGCCCTTAGCCTATAGTTATGAATCACCCTGTATATTACAAAATATTGTGTTTTTTAATTTTGCTTCTTTTTTTAAACGCACGTCAATGGTTTACTGGTTTTATAGCAAAACATTTTTCTGGGAATCAACCGATGGAAAATATGCTCTGAAAACCCAGTAGGTACATTTGAAATAACACTTTAATTTGACCATAATTATAAAATTTATAAAAGAATACCTACACATAATAAAAAAATATGTTTTTGCAATTAGCAAGAAAACGAAATATTTTAGTGACGAGCAAACAGGTTATCTTTAAATACGACCATTGATTATCTCGTCACATACACACAGCCACTGAATGTATTTTTGGAATTGAAACGAGTGAGGTAAATGTGCCAGCCACAACTGAAAAAAAAAAATGTTAAACTGAACTGTGATTTGTGATGAGACGACTGTTGTTGTTTACAAAGTACGATCTTTTTTTCAGGGGTAAGGACGGGACAGGATTTTGAGTTTTACTGATCCTCCCCTACCTATATGGGACCTCAGTATTGCATTCGAGACGACGAAAACATTTTTTTATATACTTTTCTCCAAGTTTTCTATTGCTCTTGAGATTAAAAATGAAAAATAAAGAAACTCGTCTGGTTGTCTTTGGGTGCGTATGTATGTGCTCCGATACGATAACTCGAGAACGATAGCGCCGATCGACTTGAAGTCTTGCGAATTTGATTTGATAATTTTTTCGATTGAGAAAGCTACTGATTTTCATAATTTTTGGTTCTTTTAAAAATTTAGTGTTTTTAAAATGACATGAATTTCTTATGGATCTTATTTTATGCACTGCTGCTTATTATCCTATATATCGCTGTGATTCTTAAACGTTCAATAAATTATGTAACGTTTCTTAAACGTCTTTTTAAGGATTTTATTTTTATTAATTGTAACTGATAATTGTTTTAAGTTGAAATAAATGTGGATCTTACGCGAATAACATATACAAGATGGTAAAGTAATCATTATTTTTACAAGAGGTTTAAGGAACTCCAGAATGGATCTCGTAGCTGTATTTAGTATTGGGAACAAAAAGGTAAAGAGACCAAATATTTTAATATGGGCTTAAAAAATAACCCGCAGTAAACCACAACAAGTCGGCATTCGCTCGGCCTGACACCGGTATGTTCGGGAAGCCGAGTACTCGGATTACCGGTGTCTGGGTTGCTTCTGAGCCGGGGGGACCATACCATTTGACGTAATATTTAGAGGTAGAAACCGCATGTGGTCCATATTTGGCATTCCAGACATGGGAGGCAACCATACGGGCCGAACGCGGTGAATATTTGGCTAGCCGGGCATGGGAGGTATCCTTACAGGCCGAACTATATATAGATATATGAACGCGGCTACAATGTAACCGGCTGCCTACATTTGGCAGGGCGGACATGCCGTACCTATATGCCGAAGCTGCACCCGTAAATCGGGCCGAGTCCTGCATCCGGAAAGACTCTCCTTATTCGGTCCAGTTATGGTGCCGATTAACTGTGTTTATTGGGAAATAAGGCACCAATAAATATGTTTTTCTACGCCCTTGTCAGTAAACGTTAAAAATCGCACTGTCAACATTCCTTGTAATTGACATTTAACAATAACATGCACGTAATGAAATCTTATAACATACACGTGCGTTTTGAAAAGAAAACTTTAATTTCTTGGTTTAATCAAATTGCAATCAAATTTTTGTTTACGTACGACTTTATTTGGTCTATTTACATAAATTTAGTCAATTAAAAAATATAAAAACTTTTGCATTAGCGAGATACATTTTGGTTTAAAAGAGTGACGCCCCTAAATGTTGGCTACACATCATACAATTTTTCAAAAAATATGTCGCGTTTTCTTAGATGCTATGGAAATAAACGTCATGTAATTTATAGTGTTAATTTTTGTAACAAGATATTGTATCCGAACATTTTCTCAACTTTACCTACGAATATGTTTGTTAGTAGTGAAAGTGATGAAATTATGAGCACTTCAGCGGAGATTTTAGAAAAAGCTCAAGTTGCCACACATAATTTGTTACCGCTAATATACAAAGAAAGGTACGAAATTACCTATCGAAAATTTATGGATTGGTGACACAAGCATAACTTTAAATCCTTTTCGGAGAATGTTTTAAGTGGGCGTAGAAAAAGTATAGTACGTTACACGATCGAGTTTAAACCTATTACGCACACGCGAAATTTACGCACTCGCCGCTGAGCGGCTTCGTGCGTAACGGATTACTTACAACTCTTGTTACATAATATACTATTACATGGGCCAAATAATTACATAGGCAGGCGGAAGGGGTAAAAGGACCAAATCATATTTTTACATGGGCAGGCTTAAGAGTTCAAATATTTTTACATGTGCAGGCTTGAGGGGTAGATGACCCAAATATTTTTACCTCTAATCATGACTCTTATGGCTGATGACGTCACGAGAAGTGTCAACGAACTTTGCGACGCCTTGATGGTAGATAGAAGTGTTATTACTGATACAAGATCCTTTTGCAAAAATTACAATTTCCCCATTTGCCGTATTAGACAGTTTTCAAATGGCGAGTTTTGAAACGTAGACTGCCTTTTTTAAAAATATATGTTGCATTTAAAATAAGAAAGTTGGTATTGCCCACTGTTACATGACACACCCTGTATAAAGTTTTTGTTAAAAAGAATGCTTAACTAAAAATACCAATCGACGTGTCCGAGCGTTTTTCCGAACACGCCCCCATTTATTTATTACCGAATTTATTCCATATTTGGCTGTTTCACACATATATGTGCATGCTTAAGAGGTAAAAAGGGACAACATCACATGCTTTGTGGACAACATATTTTTACATGGAGTAAACGAACCAAAAAGTTAAGGGACCAAATATTTTTACATATAAGGTTGCCAATAACGCCATTTTGAGTCTCCGGGTTTTGCGATCGTTCTCCGGGATCCGGGTTTATATTAAAATTCTCCAAGGGGCGTCATGAAATTACAATAAATGCAGCTCTAACTTTTTTGATTTGAAAAAGTGAGGAGCAAAAATGGTCTTTTGCGTATTCCTCAACAAAATTATTTCCGAATCAGCCTCTCTGCAAATTTTGCAACACATGTATTAGGGGCCCATATATTTTGACATGTACAGACTTAAGGAGCAAAGTGTACAAATATTTTTACATCAATTGTCTGAAGTTTAGACTATTTTCAAACCCTAATCAAATGACGACAGTGCGAATGGTTCTAAAGAAAACAAGGGCCCAGCAATGTGAAGAACTTCTGCGTTGTGGTTTAGCCTAAGTAACGTAAATACTTCACAAACCTGAAAATTTAACGCCTCAATACTTATTCTCATCGTCTTTCGTTTTTTTTTATGCTACAATTTTGCCCATGGGACCTCATCAGTCCCAGATAAGGTGTGGGAACCACCAACTTATGGTTCCTTGAATTTTGTATTTTTAAAAGATATATTTATCTAATTTTGTAACTGGCAGGTATTAATAAAAAAATTGTTTTAGATTTATAAAAATGTATCGAATTCAGAATGGCTACTCTGATCACACAAATTTTTCTCTAGCACATGCGTTTTATTGCTATATACGAGTAATGTGTAAGCTGTGTTGCCTACGAGTAGTTGAAAACAGAAACTCTCGCATTTGTTTAATGTATAATAAATTTAATAGTCTTGGAATAAAAACTACAAACACCCTCACGATTTGGAATAAATTAAT